GGTGTCTCTGCCAAGACTGGCTAGGACCCCGTCTGCCCACAAGCCCTTCTTGTTGTGTCTCTTCCTGTTGTTTCTCCCCAGGATTCTACTCAGCTGTAGTCAGAGGTTCTGTGAGCTCTCTGCACCTGAGACCCCCTGTGCAGGTGTGCTCCCCATTGCTGGGGGGGCAATCCTCTCTTTGGGCCTGCGTTGGGGTTCTGTAGGCAATCCCAAGACACTGCCCCATGAGCCACATTTCCCCCATTCGCACGAAACTTCTGCAGTTCTTCTCAGGGATTCACCTTTGGAACACAAAAGCCAAAGGACTGTGCAGGCAATTGCATGCTTGGGCAGACCATTTGAACATGGAGGCGGGAAGGGAAAAAGGAGGACACTCCCCCCGTCTCCCGCTCCCCCTCCCCCGCCCAGAATGTATCTCTGTCCCCTCTGAGTTCAAAGGCAGTTGAGAAGTGGGCTCAGGCATCAACCCGACAAAGAAGTCTATTCATGCACTTAACACGGATTTGTCAAATGCAATCTACGGCCAGGCGTGGTTCAAGGCTCTAGGAGCACAGCCTGTAAAGCAGGCGGTTCCTGTTAGCTGAAAGGTGTAAAGGGAAGCGTCAGCTACCATCATTCCATGAAAAAAATGGGAGCGTGCCCAGACCCCCAGGAGAACCCACCGGAGCACCCCAGAGCCCACGGAAGGCCTAAAGCCACACGCCCCAACACGGCGCGCAAGCGGGAAGGCGGGGACTCACGCGGGCCTGCGGAGGGGCGCTGCTGCAGGGCCGGAGGCCCGCGGGGCGCTCGCTGCCCGGGCTGTGCCGCCTGGAGAGCGGCTGCCGCCAAGCCCACCCTGACGCGCGCTTTCTGCTCCTCGCCTCCTGTCGTGAAGGCGGACGTGCTCTCTGGCGCTAATGTGGGGCTTCCGCGACAGTGACATGGCGTCACTCAGGCTTCTCAAAAGCAGGGGATACCTGTGTTTGCAAAGCTGTATTTTACAGCCTGGCCTGGAAGGAATGAGGCCGAAATGACCTTCCCTGAACTAAATTGATGCATTTAGTCTCTCGCTTACTGGCCGAAAGACCAAAACCGCCTCCTGAGCGCTGCCCGCCTCCTTCCCTGGCCCCTGCGAGCCCGGTGCACAGGCGGCCCAGGGACCGAGGAGCAAGCCAGTCGCCTCCAAGCTGGCAGGTGGGCCGAGTCCTGTGGAATCGCCTCTTCTGCAGGATCACCCTTTGGCTACTTGAGTGGGTGCAGCGAGGAGCAGAAACCTGTTCCCTCTGCTGAGCAGAGGGGGGTGTTCCTATTGCATGGGTGGCACAGGAACATAAGCAGACAAAAATGATTCCCTCTGCAATGAATACTGTAGCTTTTTATCCAGACCCTTATGAATTGTTCTTATTTTTAATGAATTTCTACATGTAGCTGTTTTTAAAAATGCTAGTGTCTTTTTTATTAGTGAGAAGCTTGTGTTATATAAGCACCTTCTACTTGCATGAATCCATGCATCCTCAAAGATTTGTCACCTGTGGCACACCGAATGAATACATGAGAGGAGTGAGTTCAGGTAAGGTTTGTCACCTTTATTTTCTTCCTGTGTCTTCAAGTTGATATGTCCTCCATGATAAGATTCGACTTGAACCTCCTTCAGGTCTTGTCGAGCCAGCTCTGGGTGATTTCTTTCAGAAGCATTTCTCACCCTGCCCTGCCCGGCTCCTACTGCAGGCGTGGGGAGTGGCCGCTTCGAACTGTTTTCCAGGCTCCCAGGTTAGCTGGCTTCCAGCTGGCTTCAGCCAATGGAATGCGTTGGCTGGAAGGCTGGGGGCGGGCAGGAGAAGAAAGGGGTTCTGCCTCTGACTCTGGCTGAGACTCTGCTACGGCTCAGCGGCTCCAGACAGGCCCACAGTGATTCCTTTTTCCACCCAGTGACCAAGCTGGAGGTTCTAGGACTGCAACTCCTCACTCCCCCAAGCTGAGCGGTTCTGGCCTCCTACTTTCTGATCTCTGCACCACTTTGCAGAGACCCCAGTTAGCTTTTCAGCTCTGCCATCACGTGTGTAATCAATCAACTCACTTTATTGTTTCTTTCATTTTTAAGATACAGAATGATGTTTTCCAGTTTGAACCTTGACTGCCACTTTTGATCTGAGTAATTAGCTCCATTTACAACTTTCTCAGATCATGAAAATGAACCCAAGTGATGGGGTGGGGGAGAGAAGGGGGAGGAAAGAGTGGGATTCAGAAAATTACCAGTTTAGAGAGCCTGGCTTTTGCCTTATTTCTCAAATCGTGTTCTACAGTAAAGTATTGGCCGATGGTTTGTTAAGTGATCTATGCCAAAAGGGCTCCTTGGCCCAGGGTTTGGAACATACGAAGTCAAATGGGTTTCTTTAAAAGTAACTCTCATACTTAAAATGTTCTAGTATGCATTGCAACTTTTCAACAGCTGGCATTCAAATACAGAATTTCCCAAATCAGGGACCCCGCCTTTTAAAGGAATACCTAGTAACATTTTTTTTGGGAAATGCTGAATAACAATGGTCTCAGCCAGATTTTTGATAGAAGTGGGGTAGAATCATTTGAGGTGTAGAATGCTGACAACATTCCTGTGTTCTCACTTTAAGTGATTGTGTGGTATAGCTGGGATGTGGCGCAAACCTGTGTTTAATACTGAGGGACCAGGAGCAAACTGATTACCTTATCTGGGCCTCAGTTCCTTATCTGTAAGAACCTGGATTTTAATGATTTTTACATAGGAGCTGTTGAGATTCAATGAGGTACATAAAAGCATTCTGTAAAGTGCTATGCAGATATTAGCTAATAAATTATCTTAGTCTTCTATAGTCAGCTCAATTTTATGACATCTCCCATTAATACCTTCTTTTTTCATTTTGCGAATAATTTCCATATACTTTACTGATTCCCCCAAATATCACATCATTTAAAATCACAGCAATTTAAAAAATCAGGACATTAACACTGACATAACTTACATGATGGTGTAAGCTTCCATAACAAACTTCACCAGCCATCCCACTAATGTTCAATTTCTGGCCCAGAATCCAACTGAAGGTCACAGGCTATACTTACCTGGTATCTTTGTTTTCTTTATCTGTATTCCTTAGTCTTGGTCTTTCATAATCGTGACAATTTTGGAGATAACAAGTCACTTATTTTATGGAACATCCCTCAATTTGGGCCTCGCGTTTCTCATGTTACTATCTAACATTAATTATTGTGATGATTAATTTCATTCGTTCTGTCAGGAGCAGTAGGATAATAAAAAGTGTCGTGGTTAAGTGCACGGACTCTATTCAGAATACCTGGGTTCAAAATTTGGCTCTATAAGACTATGTGACCAAGGCTGGGGACTCAGTTTCCTTATCTGTCACATGGAGATTTGTGAGTACCTATTTCCTAGGATCATTGGGATTACCAAAGGAGTGAATGTATGTAGTCATTAGAACAGTGCCTGGCACATTATAAGTGCTGTATAGGCGTTAGCTATGGTGAGAAGTTAGCATTTTTAGTGGCTTTAATGGCAGGGAGTATGTCCTTGTCAATATTGAAGAGACCAAAGCAGCAGCAGGTATTTTAGTCCAAATATCCTCGTCCCTTTCTATCCAAAGAGCCAGGGCCAAAGACCTGCTACCAGTGGGAATTCTGGCCCAAGAGGTGCACCCTTTCAGTGGGCTAGAGGTCTGTACCCAGCACTTGCATCAAGGCCCCTGAGATGACGACCTGCTCCTTCCACATGCTGACATTTCTTCAGCACAGTAAGTCCACCTGCAAGGAATTGGACCCAAATTTCCTTGCCCATCCATTGCAGGAAAAAGGTGTCAAGTATTAAAAAATTATGAAATTAACCACCCCCCCTTTTCCTGCCTATTCCCAGAACTCAGACCTTTTAATTTCCTTAGCATGCATACAGCACTTTATCCCAATCACAGTAACCAGTGATAACCTCAGCCCCTAACCTTTGCACAAGATTCTTGAAGGGGCCCAAGCCCTCAGACTCTCCCAATATTTACTGATTGGCCAATCCTGGGCAGACTCAGCAGTCAGGCTGAGGGGGGCCTCTCACGAGGCTGGATGGGGGAAGGGAAGGAAGACTGAACTAATTCCAGGAAGGTAGAAAGAATCTAAGACACTGAGAAAACTGGGTAAATGACAATTATTCATGAAAAAGTCATTAAAACGCTTACTAAAAAATAGACATTTTTTTACTCAATAGCAAATGGCATTTTGCAAAGTAATTTCGATTCTTTACCTTGTTTCACCATCTCTCACCCCCACGACACCATTTGACAGAAAAGATTGAGAGGAAAATGGCTCTAAGCTTTAACTCAGGTCTCACCTCCAAATATAGCACACCTCCCACTTAACAAGAGCAAACACACTAAATGTAGGTCAAAGACTAACAGGATTAAAAGGCTACAAAAATTTGAGACCAAAGTGGAAAAAATGTAATGCAACCAGCTATGGTGGAGCAACTTTAGTTTCTCAGCATGGTCAAGGACTTCCATAAGGCCTTGGGTGCAGGCTGAACATCAGAGGAGAGGGGTGGCGGGGGAGGACAGGAGGGAAGAGAGAGGGGGAGGGGAGACGAAAGGGGGAGGGGAGAAGAGAGGTTTCAACCTACTGTGAGAATCCCTGCGTCTTTGGTTATTTCCCACCAAATGATGGCTGACTTGGAGACAATGACTCCAACCTGTGGGGAGCAACAAGCACACTACCACAGATGTTCCACACACATTGGATGACTTGGCTGGACTCTTAGCTATGCAGTAACAAGACAGTCTTATTCAAAACTCCCATCAATACCACAACCTCCCCAAAGTAGTTATCGCCATACATTGGCAGTTGAACTCAGGTAGAAATGGCCAGTCTTTTCTGAGTTGTACAGGGAAAGAGGAAATTAGAAATTCATTTCCCATCACCAAATTGCTTCCACATTATGATGTCAAACTGAGACCTTTTCCCAAAAAGGAGGCTAAAATATCAATTATATCATACCAAAGTTTATTGATTACATGAAACAAAAATTTCTGTAATGAAAAAGGCAAGTTGCATTCATAAAAGATGGCATTCACATTCATCATAGAAAGCAACAACATAGATGTAAAAAATGGCTTAAGTGAAAAATGTAATATTGCAGTCCCGTTTTGCAAGCTGAAAAATGATCTTGTCAACACTTGCATAAAATCTGCATATTATATACTGCATGTTATTAAAAAATTCCATCACTAAAGTATTATGACCTTTGCAAATTTAGGCTTACAATTATACTGCTGCTGGTGTCTATGTGGTAGGGAAGGAATTTATGCTTTCAGTTTAGTAGGCAACATCCTCGAACAATGGACATTAGTTGTGAAAATTACCAACATGTTTTGGTAGTTCAAAATTATTTAAATGATGGGTATATGATCCTACTATTACAGTTTCCCCCTTTTCCTTTACCAAGTAAGGTGGTTAGATTGTAGTGATAAAATACTGGACAGCTTACTTCAAGTTATTCCATCTGCTAACCCCATGCTTAGCAATGTTTAGCTCATTAATAAGATCTTTCAAAAAGGAAAGTTGGATCTTTCTCAAGGATCTAGGCCACGATACCACACATCATCGCCATTGGGAGTTTGAGCTGCAGCTCAACGTGTGGCTGAGACAAGGCTCTAATCCCCTTTACTTACTTCCTGGCCACAAGGAATTTGATCTGCCAGCAGTTATTATATTTCTACTCCTGGATATTCTGATTATGTCACATCTCCAGTGGTTCTGCATTAAACAGGCCTATCTATCCTGGCTCTCTAGTTTGTGTTCACAGTTCCTATAGTTCTTACATAAAACAGTAACAATACAGCAACAACTATAAAGACATAAGAACAAGAACAGCAAAACATCAAAAGCTTTCCTGGGTCTGATTTGTTAGCTCTTTGGAATAGGCAAAGAATATAAAGACTTTTTCAGCGGACTACCTCAAATACATACTACCAGAACACAGCACACTTAAGCAAGCTGTGGATGACATCTAACAAAATACTCAAAAATAACACTGATAGATGACAACAAATGAAATAATAAAAAAGGATCAGTAATGATGGAATAAGGTTTCTGATAACTGAAATTATCTTTTCTAGAATTCAAGAAAAACTACACCTAGACATTAACACAAAAATATAAGGAAAAATAAAATGTGCCATATGGACAATGTAAATACATTGGTATAGACTGAATCAATACTTTTTCCAAATGAAGGTACAATATAAACACTAATAATAATACAGGCATGCCAGAAAGACCATCAAAAATGAAAACTGACATGAAAACACTTTTTAAAAAGACCATTTCAATCTAATAGTCAAATGTAGTCATTTATATCCAAAGAAGTATTTGATTTTAACATTTAATAAAGACATTTCACATTTATTTTTATGTTTTAAGTGAACTTGTTAGGAGGTTAAAATCTCCTGCTAGTCTGGTAAGCTGAGGACTTAACCAAGGTGACTGTCATGGTTTCAAGTTTAGACCATGGCCCTAGCGGAGTCTGCTGAGTGAGTCAACGTTCATGTTCAGAGTCATGGATCTGTAGGCTCAACTACTACTGTCTTATGATGGATCCCTCCCCTTCACCTCCAAAAAAGGTGATGCGTATGTGCACGAACACCATCTCTTTCAAATAAAACCACTAGCTGGTGGAAACAAGCCATTCTTCCTCCCTCTCCACCGACAGTTATAAAAGACTGATGTTCAGGATGGCCTTTATTTTTGTGTAACTATGGTTTTGCCCATTTTATCTCAGATGCCAGTAAAAATTACATTGGACAAACTGGTTACACTATTCTGAGGGCCTATCAAGTGAGTGGAAATGTTTTATTTTCAAATCTTGTAGCCATACATCCATTAAGTGGGGTTTAATTCAGGAGAACCAAAATAAAAGGAATGTATTTTTTTTTGATTCTTAGAAAAATACCCAGGGTTAACATTCATCCCACCTAAGTTTTCAGGATTATTTTTGGCAAGACAAAATTAGCATGTGGGTGAACAGAAAGGATTAACTATCCTATCTGATGTATTGATATGATTTAGTCATCTTGTATTTTCAAGTATTTCTTTCAGATGTTTGGGGAAAAAAATAATTTATCATTCAGCAGGAACAAGAAATGTGATCCAAACAGCCTATTTCTTCTGCCAGGCAAAAAAAGTAATATTAGCAAAATCTATTCATTCCCATGGCATGACTTCTACTTTATATTGTATTTAAATCCATTCAGAGTTCATGGGTTAAAAGAGCACCCATTGGGTAGTTATTATTCTATCTAAAGCCAGAAATTCTAAATATTCTTGCTTTCAAACTTTCATATAATTTGTAATTTAGAGCTTTGGCCATAATGGCTACTTACAATAACTGTAAATGCTTAAGAGAGTCATTTGGTATTTTAATGGACATTTATTCTGAATCCTAGATATATGAGTGGTTTAGTTTGTTGCATATCGAGTATCCTGAGATGAAAACTTCTTGTTGCTTCTTCATGCTTTCTGTTTTAGCTGTAACCACTGTCAATATGCTTGTAGGACAATAACATAGGCAGTTCAAGATTCGGATTCTGAAAAATTTAAAATATACACAGTTAAAAGGTTTATTTGATAATAATGTGAAACCATCTGTTTAGCAGTTTCAAAAATAAATCAAGTAGTAAATTTTGTTATGAGAGTAAAGCAACTGTCTTAACCAAGTGCCAAGTTTTATTCACATGCAGGGAGGAAAAGAAGAATAACACAATAACCAATTTTTAATCCCTTCTTTATTTGTCAGCTGAATAGATTCAGACTTGCTTTTTGCTTTTGGGTTGCTCCAGGGTTCTACTAATAATTGTTACCACTATGATTATCTACCAAGGCAGAATTTAAGCTCACTAAGATTCCTTCCCCTAGGCAAGGAGCCGCTTGAAAACAGAAACATTTTATTTAGCTTTTTATCTCAAGCACCTAGCACAGTGTCCGGCACACAACAGATGCTCAGGACATGTTGAATGAACGATTCAATTACTTATTTTCTGAATGTGTTAATTTTGACAGGGAAAATCTGAAAATACATCAATTTTGAAAGATTGTTGTGAAAGTATTTTTCCATTACTAAAAGAAACACATTTCCTCCTTATAATATTGAAGTTTATTTTCTTTTCGGTAGGTCACATATCTATAAATCAACTGACTTCTCTTTTTCTTATTCATTGTCTTTTGAGAAAAGGAAACACAGCTACTTCCTAAAGAAATGTGCAGCTTCTTCTCTGTCCTCTAAACATTATCCAGTGCCATGACTGGGGTGGGGCTCGATGATGGTAAACAGAGTGTAAATCAGACATACTAAGAAGTGGAGTTCTGTTGTCAAGGGAGGAAGTTGACCTCTAAGGCCCTGAGGGGTGTGCTATGTCTTCCTATTTTATTTTTTTAAAGATTTGTTTATTTATGCATACAAGAACTGGGGTATAGGCCAGAGGTGCAAGGGGGTGTGTGTGCGTCTGTGAGAGGATTCACTAGAGACAGAGTGAGGAACAGAACAGGCAGATCTACTGAAATACACTGCTGAGGGGAGCAGCGGGAGAGACAGGAGAGGTCTGCCGCACCATGTGGGTATCTCCCCGGCTGGTTGGGGATTGAACCCATGCTGCAGAAGCTGTGGACAGTGTCACAGTGCTGTGCTTAACCCCTTGTGCCACCAGGGAGGCCCCTCTTCCTATCTTAGTGCACCTTTCTTGCCAGTAGTCCTCTGGAATACCTTCCATTTCATTTTAGATTCCATATTCTCATATTAGTTCTTCAGGTAACTCTTCAGGTCGGCCATGGCAACCAAAATAAGGCTGCCATTCACATTGAGACCTTAGAAAAGGAGCTGGGCAGTTCCTTTATTGATCAAGGGGCAAACTCAGTGGCTAAACTAATCGTAAAATATCTTCGTTGGAGAAGTATTGCCACATGAGAATATGCTCCTGGAAGAAATAACTGTATCAAAAATAAAACAGTTGTTTAAAACAGAAACTTTCTTCAGCCCTACCTTAGGCACTGATTTTACGAGTTCAGGCCCTGGAGAGCCCAAAAGCAGTAGCAGTGTCTGCTACCCAGCCTAGTCTTCCCAGCCACAGACCAAGCTAAAGAGAGCCGTCCAGGGGGATACAAAATGAACTGGAAATAGTATAGCTTAAAATAAACCACACAGCATAGGACAAGGCTATCTGGGACAAAAGGGTCAATGACTCTGAAGGCTACTATGATGCAGATTCATTATTGAGGGAAAATAGAAGCAGGTGAGTAGCTCAAAATGGGTAAAAAGATGCTGACTAAGGCAGAATGAGTTGGCTTCCGAAATATTCAGCAGATGCAGGCAGTGATGAACTACAGGAAACAGAATGGATTCACCCCCTTGGTGCATTCTTATTGTTTGCCGAGGGTGGGGAAGCTGATGACTGATAAACAGGTCTATGAGGCAGACTCATTAGGTTCAACGTGAACTGACCTGAAACTTCATTCATAATGTCCATTCATTTTTACATGTGGGTGAAAAACGGCCTTGCCCTAAACTTTGCAGAGTGGTTTCCGAGCTGACAAGCTTGTAAACCTCACTCATTAATGACTCTAAATTGCCATGGAGGAACAAAAGACCACTAAAGGTCTGCGATGACAGAGGCCCCTGCGGTGAGGGGTGGAACACACACAAGGATTCATTTTGAGTTCAAGAATTCCTGCCATGGAGTATCAATTCCTCCCCAACATTTTTTTGGGGATCAATGAAACAATATGTTGTAAAATATATTTACTCATTTTTGGAAAAAATTAACTGTGAAGCATTCTCTATAATTACATTTATATCCCCCTGAACGGCTAGGAAAGATTTCACTTCTGAAAGTCAAAAAACATTTAGTTTGAATAAAACTTGACATTTTAAAGTGATTAGATTAGACTGGTTCATTAATACACATTTGGGGATCAGACATTTACAAAGACATTAAGTATATACCTGCAAACACACAGACACAGCACATGAAAGTACAAACACACTGAATTATTTTAACATAATTCCCCCAAAAACATGCAATGCTAAAACTGACTTGATATTATATAGATGCAATTTTGGAATATTTATTTTCAGTTTTTGCAAATGAGCTTTATAAATCTAAATGATCAGTATAAAGCATTTTCACATGGTGGCACTGCCATCATGACAACCTGTCCTTATAAATTAAATAAGTTGTATTATTCTTCAGCTCTGGTATATGCCCAAAATTTTATTTGTGGGCTTAGCAAATTTAAATATGGATTTCATCATATTCCAAGTAATGCATCTTTATATTTTTGCAAAGAATAGTATAAAGTTCACCACACCAACAGAAGAGAAAATTTAGAGAGTGATATTTTCATTTTTTTCTTTATAATGCTGTTAATCTGTTTCTTTAAAGCCAGCCCGCTTGTTTAACACTAGGTACCTGTTACAATATATTAGATTCGTCTGAGAATGTTCGTAAAAGAAGAGGTCTGACTGAAGGTCTGGCGGATAATGAGTCAGATGCCCTTTTACAGCTCAGATTTCTCTGTAATAGTGAGGTAAAAATACTTAAAGCATTTGAACATTGGTCAACCTACCTGGTGATAAAAATGTAGAAGAAAAATATCATTTCCTATACACTACTCTTCTGGCCAAAAGCACAAATGGATTATACTAGAGTTAATGCATAACATTAAATGAGTACATTTTAAGACCTAAGAAAGTCTCCAACTTGAATTGTTTTCATGGTAAAAGTACACAGACATTAGTAGTATGTGGCAAACCTGGGCTTTTGAAATGGCACTGGTAGGTTATGTGGTAGATGAGCCGATATGGTTTGATTAGTAAACCTTACCATCCTTTTGGTGAACACCTCTGAGAGTTGTGCCGATGCTGTGAGTGTATGGAACAAAGAGAAATTGTGCAAAACATTCCTGTCTCGGTGAACAAACTAGCTGTCACACGCCATGGCTGCTACTGCGTACCAGGAGTCAATGAAACCAGAGACTTACAGTCCAAGCTTTGAACATCACTTCCTCTCCAGGGTGACAGTTTGAGAAGGTGAACAAATGATGAAAGGAAAATGACAAAATACTCTTAAGTATCAATAGAAGATATAAAAATGAGTCATGAGAAATAATTTTTCATAAAGAATCTGAAAATGGTGTCAAGCAAATGAGAATGCAAGCAAGTTGTTACATTAAGAAAGGAAATCACCTTATTCACTCCAAGAGAAACTGTGATTGCTGGAAGTTTGAGAAAGCATGAAGATAGTAGATGTTCCTGAGGAAGGGAGGCGTTTCGTTACCTTGTTCACAATTGCACAAAAGGTGGAAAATTGCAGTAGGAAAAAGAGAAATGCAGAAACCAAAAAAAAAAAAAAAAAAAAGTAAATATTCTCTCAAACGTAAGACATTTAAAAAGAAAACTCAAGAATTCGAAGTCGAAATGACATGTTAGTTTTGAAGACGTTACTTTCTGAAGTAAAAGTAGAGTCAGGAAGAGTCGCATGTGTAGGCTACTACTATTTCTCTAGAAGTCAATTTGCAATTATTTTGTTATAGGAAAATTGACTATTTTGAGTAAAATGATTAAAACATATGCTTCTCATTGAAATAAGGCTTATCTCGAAACATTAATTCACTAAACTACATTTGCTGAAAACGCACTGGCCAGAGAGTTATGTCCACGGCGCATCACTGATGTACCTGAAAGTAACTATCTCCCCTACCCATTGCACAGACACGGGGATGGCTGCCCATGGGCAACTGTAGGTTTAAAATGAAATTAACACTGACATGATGCAAAATCATTCCTGTTTACATACCCTTGTACTGTTTACCTCTGCACCATGCTTAACTTCCCTTACACTAACAGAATTTGATTGGTTCCCCTCCCTTTTCCTATAAAACCTCTTAAAAAGGTTAGGTTAAAGAGCTATGAATTTTTCCTTCCAAACACCTAGAAAAGGTAAAAACTGATAACTCGAAGTATAATCAGAAAACCGTAAGGGGTTATTTTTTCCTTCTCATTCTGTGCCTAACTTTACAAGCTACCTTACAGAAGATAAGTGGTCTACTCTGGGGCTGCTAATCAAGATTACCCATGTTATGTACATAGGTGACTAATGAATATAGGCTTAAAAAAAGGAATCAGCCAAAGAAACATATGTATCTATCAGTCTAATAAACAACTTAACTTTTAAAGGCAAATACTTTGATTTATACATATATGCTTTAATATAACTACAATTTTTCCTGTTCATATTTTACATTAAATAAACTAGGTGACATGCTGGTAACATGAAAATTACCAATAAAGCTAGAGAAATACATGTTTAGTTTCTGAGACGAAAACTTTAATTGTTATTTTGTATTTTGTGGGCAAAAACCTTGCAACAAGGTTAATATTATAATAAATCCCCCCACCCCTTTGGTTATTGTATAAACCTATCTATTTACTGTAACTGGAAGTACTCTTTGGTGTGCTCAAAAACTTGTATCCAAATGATGAGATTAAAGTATTTCTATGAAACAGTTCTATTAACCCCTGAACAGAAAGTTTAGGGGTTAGCAGATTAGGTTACTTTATAAAGGGGTGGGGGGAGGAGAAATATGAAAGTACAGAAGGCAGTATAGAGTATGGAAGTATCTAAAGCAATCAAAAGTTGATACAGTTAGCAACTGGAAGGCGGGGTGGGGGAGGTAAGAAGCATGGGAGATAATGACATTTCCACATTCCTTTGCAGTCATCTAGAGAGCTTTGACAGCGGTTCAACCAGCAGCATGTCAAAGAGGCCAATGCATAAAGGTCCACCTCAACAGCCATGACATTAGGAGTTCAACTTTATTTTTGTCTAATCCACTTCCTGGACCATTATCCTCAGAACCCACAGCTGTATATGACACCGTCAGAATCACAATAATAGCCACCACCATCATCGTCATCATCATCACTGCTATCACAAGGATAAACTACACTCTCCAAAATTTTCCAAGTGCTTTTTCTTGGAATATTGCTCAGGCAGACATCTTTGCTTTTCCTGTCTTCACTCTAAAAGAGCTCTCTACATAATGGAATATATTGTTTGTGCAGATATCCCAGGCTAGGGCATGGCCATGTTGCCGGTCAATTTCCATTACTGTGTTCCCATGTCTAGTAGGCAAAGTCAAACCTCCATTATGATTTGGTGATTTAAGTGGGAAAGCTTACATAAAGATAAATGGAAAATTCCTGTATTGAAAGGTCCAGGTGCATATAAGCAAGAGCCCAACAGTCGTGCTTAGAGGGGAAATAGTTTTCCAAAATACCAAATTCCTAACCATGTAACTTCCTTTGAGGTGAACTGCTGCTGCACTGTGCAGTGCTCAAGGGCAAGTTCATCATACACCACCAGCAGCTTGGTGATGCAGCCTGATCACTGTAAGCTAAAGAAAAATCCTGCGATCCTTGACAAGGGATTTTAGCTCACTAATTAACCTCACTGTTCAAGATATGGATTAAAAAAACTTGGCTTACCTATTCCCTGGAGTTAAATGACAAAGGAAACCTATTTTCAAAAATAGAATTCTTTATATTGCTAGCATCATAACAGAAGTCAGGAGTGGTGGGGGCCCCCTAACCAGCCTTTTTACTGGACAGTTCGGGAGGTATTGACTCTAACCTTGAAGTAGTAGTTCAGGTATGTCAGAACAAATCATACCCCTGAGTACTACTATCCTGCTTTATGCCTGCTTACACGAGTGTTGCATATGAACCCTCTTTACAACTAAACTAGAGTGAGAGCTCCTTATGAGCTGGGGCCATGTCTGATTCACCCCTCAATTGCCAACACCTAGTACAGTAGCTAACTTATAATGGATCCTCAGCAATGTGTGCTGAATTGAATAGAATTCAAGAGAAGGCGGCTTCTATAATTGTGAAATGTAAATGGCTTAGCTTCTTTCTCAAATGCCATAGAGACATTTTCACTACCCACTGCTGAGTTCCCTTCTCAAAACAGCTGCCAAGAACCACATGAGGATAACACTGGCAGCCTGCTTACCACAGGCATTTCTGGCTGTATGTACAAAGGATGCAAGATGCTTACTGGTTGAAGTCAGGGCTATCTTCTACCTCTAGACAAGGACATACCCTTTACCCCATATTAAGGAGCCTGTCAGGTATGAGGCAGAGCAGTATAAAAGAACCTTTGCCACTCTTTAAAATGAGGCCCATGCCTTAGCAAGGGATACTGAATAAAGTAGGAAGTCAACCAGAATGTCAGACTGCTGGTCATTAAGATACTTTTTCCTCTTTTTATCTTAGAAGTGGCCTCTACCTCTTTGATATGGCCAAATAGGGCTTAAACAGATGTGACTCATCAGAATGGCTGTGGCTGCATTGTTTCAGCTGGCCTTTATGCATTTGTATGTATTACTTTGCTCTTGCATTTTCTCACGGGGGGGGGGGGGGGAGTAGGCAGCGCTGCTGAGTGCCCACAATGTTTTTGTCTCTTCTGCAACTCTAAATCCCATTCAGTCTGAAAAATCATTTAGCTTTTCAGACATTGGATGTAAAGAGAGATGTTCATCAGTAGGTGGTTCAACACACACTTATTGGTTCAATGAAGGCAGGAATAAATGAATGAATGAATGAAGGTGATTATGGAAATTCTCCTGGTTGTACTAGCAACATCAGCATGCCAAGCTAGAGCACAGATGCTAGAATTCCTGCTGTCATGGACACAACCCATGGCAAACAAGTTTCATGCTGAACCCCTGGCAACATTCTATGCTGCTAAGAAAAAGGGCTGTAGTCCCAGAACTCCATGCTTTCAACAGATGCTGGAATCTGTTGTCTGCATGGAAAGAAAATGCTCTAAGTCTTTATTTGTGACCATTCTGTAGCATCCCTCCATTTAATGGCCATTTAACTTGTATATTAAAACATTTAAAACATGTGAAGCATTTAATGACCATTTAATTTATGTAAAAATCACCTCCAGCCAGTGTCTAATGGTTTATAAAGAAAATAAGATATGTCTGAAGGTTTTGATTTCTGAGATTGTTTTGTCTTTAGAGTGTGAAGTTGGGTGAGTCATTATATAGCATTAACTCCATTATCACAAATAAGAAAAACATTCAGGAGCACCCCAAATAAAAATAATGGGAGAGGACTTAAGAGATTCTTTACAGACAATTCTCTGTTACAAAAAGGTACCAGAGCATTTTTTACTGTGATATTTTATATTTGGCTTTATGCAAGTTGCCCACTGGAGCCTTTCTGGGAGGAACCTGTCATATCAATTTGTTTTACCCATGCTCAAATGATAATAAGGTGTATGTAGTCCGATAAATAAATGCCTCTTTCCATCCTAACACTACACACCAGGCTGGAGGGAGTTAGTTGCAGGTCTATCAGAAGGATTAACGAACAGACTAAGGCAATCTTAGCCAGGCTAACACTACTGTGTACCGTTGCAGTCCAGACGGCATGCAGAAGCAGGGAGATAAGGGCAGTTGTGACCATCAGACTGCACGCTGACTGACTCTGTATACTCAGGGTCAATGCTGTTTGTGCAACTGACAGTTCTGTCGCTTCTCTTTGGGGCTTATAATACTGGTTTGTATCAAAAAGTTCCTCTTTTACATGTCTAATCACTGAAGATTTTCCCATTGTAATCAATCATTATTGATCCATACTTCTGCATAATGCCAACCACTGCAGTCTATCAATTCAATAAGCCAAAAAATCAGACAAACCAGTTCTATGACTAACCTGGTTGGCAAATTTGATCAAAAAGTTCAGATATATATATATATATATATAATCTTAGACTATTTCCTGAAAATATTGCCTTGGAGGGGCTGCAAAATCTAGTTGGTATCAATATGCTAGAAATAGGGCTTTGTTTGGCAAAATGAGCTAGCACTGGCAGGAATGTGACATATTTAATTAACCTGTTGGTCAAAATTTGGCAGAAGTTTTATTTTCCAGACTAATCTACCCCTTTTATCACTTCAATGTTCAAAAGATACCACATGATGCAGGGCCAAGCGATTAGGCTGACAGAGGATAATAACTTCTTATTCCCACAAGAAATTTACAATTTAAGCAACAAAAATAAAAACACACTCATAAAACAATCTTGAATTTTTACAAGTGTGTTTCAGGAAGGCATGGATGTAGAAACCACATCCAGGGAATTCTCTTTGGTTCAAATATACTGCTGGACAGACAGGGCTAGAAGCAACACAGAGATTAAGCAGCACTATAATTAAAGGAAGGGGAAAAGTTTTAAAAAGGCAAATTAGGATTATCAAATGAAAAAAAAATCTGCAAAAAACCCACAGGGAAATTTCTAAGGTTCAAGCTGGAATGTTGGTGTGGAAATCCTGGTGTGAAAATTCTAGGCTAAATTAAAAAAAATCATTTTTTTCTTCTAAAATTCCATATGGAGCATATGAGATACTCCATATGGACTGCTAGGCCACATAGAACACCGTTAAGGAATCTACTTACCACCTGCATTGGATAACGAAGTTTTTACTATACTTTTTATGCAGAAGAGGAAATTAAGTGATGAACCTGTAAGGAGGGGTTTAACATGCTGTAACTAATGCAATTCTCTAAATGAGGTTTTTAGTTCATGGCAGATATTGAAGCCCCTTCCAAAAAACAGGTTATAATACAAACTTAGTTCTTACCCTGGCACTTCTTCTTCTTACATTCTTTAATACAATCAGGAGAATCTCAGGGAAAAGGCTGATAAATATTAGAAGAACTATTGCCAACCATGTGGATACAGAAGACAGCATTTGAGCAAATACGAAATACATTCTCTGTTGTTTAAGAAAAGGCCTAGAGTGGAAAGAAAAAACATAACAAAAAAAGTCAGTTCTTGTCATAAGTAACAGAAGTGTAATTGAAACTGTTTTATATTTAAAAGGAATCTTTGCTATGTGCATTAATAAAAATAATTTTCTTTAGAATATCCCAAAAGTAATACACAGATTTCATTCACCAAATGTTTGGAGAGAAAAAGAATGATAATCAAAGGGGGAAAAAGATAATAAAATGCATTTGATTTGGAAAAAAACCCAAGTAGTCAGCTTTAAAACTGCCAACTGGAGAATATTTATTTGCATTAGAAAATGCTGGAGCTTCAGATATTCAAGAGAAATGATTATTTTTTATGCTAACAAGCATTTTACTCCTATGCCGCTTTATTAATATGAAGATGAATTTGTGCTCTATATTCAGAAATTCAATAGACACTTTTATAAGCCCCCACAAAAAATCCTTTATGCAAATATAAAAAGGCCCGTAGAGCTTCTCTCTCTCAAATGGGAGGAATCTACCATTAACATCTACAAGCAGACAACAGCCAACAGGACATTATGCCTTAGTGTTCAGAAATCCAGGAGGACCCCTCATTCTGATGCTGGATTTCATTCCAAGTCATACAACTGAATTGTCAGGCAGCCATTGAGAAACACAGTCAGTTTCCCTTCCCCTGTCTGAACTGAACCACAGAGATTCTCACTAGGCTAATTTAATGTTGAAAGCTGAAGGGGACGAAGCAAAGCAGCTGTGCAAGGCTGGGGTGCACATCACATTATCCTCGGATAAGGAGTCCTTAGGCAGGTAGCTGGTCAGTCCCATTTATTAGATTGAGCATAGTGCTCAATGAAATGAAACTAGTTTCTTATTTCAAAATTGATCTGCAGTCAAACGCTCTACTCCTGAGTTGTACCTCATCAGGTAGTACCTCTAAATCATACACTGTTTTTAAAGAAATGTTGCTTAAACAGCAATAAATATAAAAAATGATGTTTGTACACTTATGTAACATGATAAAATTAACAACTAGACTTAAACACTGAGTGAGCAGAACAGTGAGGTGGAGAAATTTAGGAGGTCTGGGCTAAACAGGCTTTCCAGGCTCCCAACCATCTAGAAAAGACTTTTCTGGAAGTGCTCTACCCTCACTCTTGATTATGAAGCCCACTAATTTTCCAGGCTATAAAGTGAGTCATAATAAGGGTCGAGTAGACAAGTGATGGCTAATCACAGGTATTCCTTCCCACAATACCCCATAATACCTGCTGATTAATAACCCTAGATTTCTTTTTTGTTTACCTTGATGGTCATCTATGGAGCTTTGAAGGTGAAGAGTAAAGAATGAGAGATAATATTTCTGGATTGAAAACATCACTGTCACTGTCTACCCATAAGAGGGGCGGGAGGCAATACTTCAGGGTGGAACATATCCAGAGATATTAGCTGTGATTAGCATCCAACTGATATTTCCTATCGTTTCCAGTTATATTTTGCTGGATGCTTTGTAATATAAAGTTTATGTTCACATAGTAGCTCCACTCAGAAAACTCCACAGGCAACTATCTAAAAAATTATTAATGTTTCACTTTTAGTATCTCTGATGAGTAGAAACAGGTGCGACAATTTCTTAATCATTTAAGGGATTTATTTTAATCACTATGAAATAGTCTGTTCAAATAGAAACCAGTTTGCTAGAAATATTTTATTCTTGTGGATATTTTGCATAATTAGTTCAGTACTGATTACACAATTTATAGACAGAATTATGAACTCTGGGCAGACTTACAATTGTATGTTACACTTGGTTAATCAACTGATTCATTTGTATATTATTAAAGAAAATAGAGACTTCCTTCAGCCTCATTGCATCAATAATTACCAATATAGGTGTCAAATATATGCTGTAATTATATTTTTTAGAACTGCTACTTCCTTAAATGACTAGGTTTTTCATATTTTTAGTTCTTAAGGTTCCTATTAAAAAAAGCTTTTCAAAACAGTGAGAATTTCTTCTAATTAAGTCGCAAGGGACATAAACATGGTGCTCTCGCTTCTGTGATAAGATGAAATGTATTCTTTTATTCAAACCAGTGAAAATATGTACTCCCGAATCTCACCCCACGGCTTACTATAGTCATGCTCTATGCTGCTGGCATCCTTGCCGGGGAAGCCACTCATTAGTGAAAACAATTGTGATATTTAAACTCAAAATACAGGCCTCTGCGAGTAAGGAAAGGAGATAAAAACCAAACTTGTTTACATTCCCTTTAACTCCTCTAAGGATGGCTTATGTGTTCCCTTACTGCATTTCAATCTCCTGGAAGCAGGGGTGCAGTTTAAGTCATCCCACAGCACTAAATGGCTTCTGAATAAACCCTATTGAACCAATATGAAGAGAATGACCTGTTAGGCCTAGCTGTAGAGTCTGTCTTTACCTACCCTTCCCCAAAACGTTGGTCATTTCAAGATATAACCCTTCAAGTAATAAATGGAATATATTTTATTGATATATGCTGAGTATATCATAGTGATGTGAATCAGTTATATACCTTAATAAAGGGGGAATAGGATTCGCATGGATAATAATGTGGTTATTGACCATTAATTGTGTAGAAAGTTTACAATCTACTGATTTCCCCTGGAAATTACAAGGGAGGTCATGCTAGAAATTATAGTGGCACTTCACAGAGACATGTTTATACACTTTCAAGTTGAATGACTTGAATAGGAACCACAAGAAAGTGGGGGGAAGGGGTGTCTTTTGAGTAACTTGCACAGTCTATATACTTGCATTTGAAATCTTACCTGAAATTGTGTTACTGGCTAGAAGTAACTTCCAGTTCATTAATATCAAAGACCTGCCATCTTATATAATCAACAGTTTAAAATTATAACTTATCTTTGCATATACAATGTAAATATATATGTATATTTTGTCATTTATACATTACTCACACATGTGTATCTGCTTACCAAATAATTCCTCCCCAGAAGAATGAGAAAAATACATAAAAGGCTAAAGAACCCCAAATCACAAAGTGATTTATCCATGTCCAGAAACGAGTATCCAAGGCAAGCTGAAAAGATACAACACAGGAGACTTTATGATGTGCGCGAACTGCAACAGGCAATACACTACGGTATCTGGTAACTTGGATTGTGGGTCTAACTATGTAATGTCCCTTTCAAGTGCAAAATCTGTATCTGTTCCATTAAATTAGTAACACTCCCATTTGCCTTGGATTTTAATTCCTTAATGTTACTGCCAGGGCTGACTGTTCAGATTATGGTACCTGGGGTTTTTAAAATATTTTTTTAAAGATTTATTTATTTATGCATACAAGAGCTGGGGTACAGGCCAGAGATGTGGGGGCAGGGGGTGGCAGTGAGAGGATTCACCAGAGACAGAGCAGGGAACAGAAGAGGTGGATTGATTGAAATACACTGCTGAGGGGAGCAGCAAGCGAGACAGGAGAGGTCTGCTGCGCCATGTGGGTTGCTCGTTGGCCGGCCTGGGATCAAAGTTGTGCTGCAGAGGCTGTGGATTCATAGTGCGGTGCTTAACACCTTAGGCCACTAGGGAGCCCCGGTACCTGGGGTTTTTAATGTAATCTAAAAATATCAATTATGGTCTCCTCTGCTTCCTTAAAATTTCTGAGCCACATGGACTAACATCCAGGACATTTATTATTCAAAGAGTAGGTTTGTGTCTCAACTCTCCATTAAATTTTCTCATTCATAAACAGGTAGATACCACTGCTAATGTAGATACCACTGCTAATGTAGATACCACTGCTAATGTAGCTCTATATTGTATTCTCACCCTACTGTATGCTAGGGAAAATGTCACACACAATAACACTCATCCAAAGATGAGAGAGTGGATGTCCTTTGAGCGACACGTGAAAAATGCTGCAGTAAGGCCAATTTCAACCATGAAGGGCACCTGAAGGCCCAGGGGCCATATGCAAGGTTGGGGTACTGGGGGCGCTGGGGAGGCTCCCAATTCAAATCATGAGCCTGTGAAACATGATAAATAACAACTATATTAATTGTACTGAACGTATTATTTGTGCCATCTACCATTTTAAGTGCTTTACATGTATTCACTAATTGTCTTCTCACAAAAATCCTGAGAGGCAGGTGCTACTTTTATCCCATCTTATTAGAGAAGGAAATGGAGGTACAGAGACATGAAGTCACTTTCCCCAGGACATTCAGCTAGTAAATGGCTAAACTGAGATGAATTGTAGCTTTTCTTTGCAGTCATAAAATTATTCCCAAAATAGTAGCTGAACAATACAAATAGATGTTAGTTCTTTTTGGTATGATGAATGAACCAGAAATGAAAATTTAGGGAGGGGAAAGGATTAGAGGAACTTTGCCAATTATACTTCTGAATCCTAGTTCTCACCACTCAGGACATTGGAATTCTCTTAAGTCTTCTCTTTCTTGGACCCCATGTGAAGTGTTTACTACTGGATTGGTCACAATAATCTGATATGCATTCAACTGTAAGAGTCCTAACACATGTGCCTCAAAGGGACTATCCAGTATTATATGGTTACACATTAATGTCAATGATTTTGCCATTATGGGCCTACTTGTGCATTACCTGTCATCTAGTTTCAGGAGTTTCATCACAAATGTAGGTAGCATATGATGAATACATTGTATAAAATTCCATCACTACCAAGCTCTTACCTCAGATATCTCACACATGGATACCCAAATTATTTCAAGCTCTGTCATTCTTAAACAGATATGTAGCTTTAAAAAATATTCAAGATGAAAACTCTCTCTTTCTCAGTCTGTTTATATATCACTTATAACATCTTGAAAATAGCAAATGGCAGGGAAGGATAGAAGGAACAGATTTTCAACATAAGTATGGCACATGAATTTTTAAGACAAAGATGGGTGATATATAGGAAAAAATGATCACAAATAGTAGTCAAATGCACAAATTTCTATTATCATACACATTTTAGTAAGCATTCAGATTTGAGTAATAACCCACTACAATGATACTGTAAGACAAAAAGACATATTACTGTAAGACCAGAAAGCATTACAAAAAAAAGGTATTAAATATATTTGAATAAATAAAAATCTAACCTTCAGAGTTACAGTGAATACTAAGACTGTAAAAACAATGGTTCCAAAAGTCCAGTTTCCATAGACCTGAAAAACATTTGACAATTACATGTACCATGATGATGCAAGCCTGTTTACAAAAATAAAATGTCAAGTTTAATCCTTGTGTGTAACTGCCAAAGATTTTTAAATGAATTGTTAGGGAAATATATGGTCAAAAGATTAGGCCAAAATTGAATATTTTACTGTGACCCTAAATTTTCTTGGACAGGTACAGTACACTTGTGGTTGGTAGGGTTTATTTCCATTATTCCATGCAGCATCAAACACAGAACACACTGGTGTGATAAAGGCAGGGGAAAAATCCAGTCCATTAACAGTAATGTTCATCATTACTCATGTCGCTAAAGAGTTTGTTAAGGGTTTTTGCTATAATACAGAATCCAAACTCTCAACTACTAATTTTCAAACAAATGGGCTCACATTTTAAAATATAGTCTAATTTTCTGGCTGCAAATATTAGAGCTGTCAGCATGTGCACAGTAAAGAAAAGCAATTACCATATATAAGTCCACACAATGGCAGTGAGTGGCACATATGCTTACCAAATGCTGTCAAGATCTGAATGCATAACATTAAAACAGAAAATGAAATGTAAAAGGTTTTTGAAAAATAAAAACATAAAATTAAGGTTAATAGAAGCAAAAGAGGAATTTGATCAAATCATACATGGGTGTTTGTTTAATTGCTGAGAGCAGTTCTTATAATTTTAATTTTAGCAAACATTGAGGATGGTGATACACACAGTAAAATCTAATTAATTTGGACTTCATGAACTCAAAATGGGAGATGAAGTGGACAGAAGCTGGGTTGAGGCTCCCCATTCACCACCTGACGATTTTGCTAAGTATATGAACAAAGTCCACAGGATTGCAGGAGCTTATCTGCTACTCTGAACAAGCTTTCAAGCAATAGTCAGCTCTAAACAATTTATGTGTTTAATAAAAATAAGTTAAAAAGTGAAAGTCACAGAATCAGTCATAAAGCTGAAGGAACCATAAAATGAGAAACCACAAAATCTAGACCCTTCTTACTAATGGGAAAGCTGACTTGGAAAATCTGAGGTGACTTGTGTGAGGCTGCAGAGATAATTTATCGGGCCATTCTCCCTGGCAAGTGCTACATGTGCCCTACTGTAAAACACTAAATCTCAATTTTTTCAATAGTTTATTGGTGGTCAATAATTTAAATGAATTCATATAGCTGGTTTCTGTTAGTCCAAATTAAGAGAGGTTTTTACTGTAGTACCGACAACTTCAAAGTATCATTCAAATTCACTGAGCCTATCACTTCTGTAACATGTTGCTTTCTGGGTTGTGATACAGTCGTTGTACTCAGTAAATTCTTTTTGAAACTTAGCTTTGCTGCATATTATGAATGGTAGAGAATGAAGGAGCACAAAAGAGGAAGTGCAGGAACAGCAAAGGAAACCATCATGAAAGCAGCATGCAAGGTGGTGGGTTCCATTTCCTACTGTGTGGCTGAGGGATGAAGGCCTCACCCCTTCAGCATTTTTCTCCTGGAGCATAGCCCAGGCAAATTCATCCCAACACAGGTGCTGACCATTGTAGTCACTTGCTGGGAAGGCACTGGCAGGACCAGTGTGGTCTTTCTGGAAAACATTATGCTCTCATGCAGAAAGGAAGGAGGAAGAGAAGGAAATTCCCTCTCTTTAACTAGTGGGCAAATACTGCAAAGATGTGGCATTTACCCCTCTTGAACTCCAAGCACGAAGGGCACTATGAATAAAAACTAGTGAGGCCAGACCTCACTTTAAAACAGGAAAAGCCTTGCTCGCATCATACAATGCAAGGGTCCAAAGTCTGAGGGCCCAAGAACTCTGCTTCATCTAGTAAAAATTACACGCAAGTTAAGCTTCCAGAAGGTTTGCACATAAGCTCTCTAGTTACCCATGCACACAGGAAGTGATTTCTTACTTCAGCACTTCTATTGCTCTAAAGAAGTTGTGAGAACATACTCTACTTTAACAAAAATCACTTGCAAAAAGGCTCGACTGTGTATATAATAGATCCAGTGGAAAAAGATAGCCATGGAAAAAGATAAACCATTCTTATAAATAATATGCAATGACATATGTATTTTCTTACCTTTGCATTCTCTTCTAGGGATGAAGTCTGAAAGAGAAAATAAGTCCCAAAGAAGAACACTGTCCCTTCAAATGCAGCCAGAAATGTCCAGTATAAGAAGGGGCCCAACTGCAGCATGGCATTGCCAGAAATTTTCCTATTGAGAAATGGAGAAAATCACAGATTAATGTCAAAGAAATGCCAGTGGTTTGACCCTGTTATCACGAAGGAGCTACCCTTGAGGGAATGGGAAGGCTTCTGGTAGGCCAGACTGTGGCACTGTAGCAAATAGCTGTCAAAGCGCTCCTCAGATTCTGGCTATTGACATCAAAAATACCACCTGGGCCTCCCCTGGTGGCTCAGCGGTTGAGCACTGGGTTGCGAGGCTGCCCGCAGCCTCTGCAGCGCCAGTTCGATCCCAGGCCACCGGCGAGGGTCCCACAAAAAAAAAAAATACCACCAGTCCTAATTAGCAACTATTTATTGAGAACTTAATATATGCCAGAAAACTGGGTTAAAAGTTTTGTACATCTAATCCACTTTCATCCACATAAAAACCAGATGAGGAAGGTATTTTTATCATTCCTATTTATAAATAATAAGCCCCTCGAAAAGGTGCACCATAATGGCTCCCAGACTCTGATGCACATTGGAATCACCTGGGGATCTTTTTTTCCCCCCCTAAAGATTTTATCTATTTTTGCATAGAAGAACTGGGGTATAGGTCAGAGGTGTGGGGGGCGGGGAGGGGGGTGAGAGGATTCACCAGAGACAGAGTGGGGAGCAGAACAGGCAGATCTGCTGAAATACACTGCTGAGGGGAGCAGCGGGCAAGACAGGAGAGGTCTGCTGCACCATGTGGGTCAGCTCCCTGGCCGGGGCTTGAACTCAGGTGTAGGGTAAGTGAAAAAAGCATCAGGCTTTTCTGCCCTCCTGCCATCAGGATTGATAATGGATCCTTGCAGTCCTGAATGAATGCCTGATGGTGGACACCTGGAGTAGGGTGTGGGCATGTGTAAGTGGGTACAGCTGGGCTAAGGCTGGGCTTATAAGGGTGGTGTCACAGGGACGCCAGAAGAACCATGAGAGAAGCAGACAGAATGAGAGCGAAAGAGAGAGCAAAAGAGCAAGCAGAGGCCACCAGAGAATCCTGAAGAGCCCAGACAGAGTGAAGACTTGCTGGGGGGGTGGGAGGCCTGCCAGCCTCTCGGCCCCCCAGGACCCCTGTCTGCCGTGTGCCTGGTTAATCCCATTAAAGCCTGAAAAAGCCACCGAGGGCTCTGGGACTCTCCTCCTTTACCCTGTCTGCTGGAATCATAGAAAACCTGCACTGTGTCTATTCCTGCCGCTACATCAGGTCATCGTGGTGGGTTGTCATCATGGTGATAACGCTACGACTTATTAAATCCTAGGCCACCTGGGAGGCCCCAGGGAAATCTTGAACAACATGGCCACTTGGCTCCCACCCTCATTTTGATTTAACTGTCATCAGGTGTAATTAAACTCCCTAGGTGATTCTAATGTGCAGTAGAGTCTGGGAAACACTAATGTAGCAGCATCCAGAGTTGACTTACGAACAGAGCTAGCATACAATCCTAGCTTGATTTGACTTCAAATCCTATTTTCTCAACCAAACTACCAGTGTTCCAACTATAACTGTTAAAGTTTTTTTTTCTTTTTCTTTTCTTTTCTTTTTTTTTAAAGATTTATTTATTTATTCATACAAGCACTGGGTACAGTCAGAAGCGCGGGAGGGTGAGAGAATTTACCAGAGCCAGAGCGGGGAGTAGAACAGGCAGAAGGACTGAAGTACACTGCTGAGGGGAGCAGTGGGTGTGGCAGGAGAGGTCTGTCATGTCATGCGGGACCCTCACCCGGCGGCCGGGGATCGAACCGGCGCTGTAGAGGCTGCGGGCAGCTTCACAACCCAGCGCTCAACCGCTGCGCCACCGGGGAGGCCCTAAGGTTTTTCTTTTAACCAAGATTTCTTCCTGGAATTTTTTTAAGGTCTTACCTTTTGTATTTTTTCAATTGAGTCAAATAACATATTTGAAGCTGTGTAGCCATGCTTTGATAAATGGCAGGTAGACAGATTAAAAGTTTAAAATTTGTCAAAGATATCCTAATCTTAGTACAAGGTAGAATGTTAAATAATGCTCCCAGTTACAATGGAGCAGAGCTGCAAAAGAATTGTGCATGGAATTCGTTTGGCTTCTATTTCAAATTGCTCTTAACATTTATGACAAGGTAGCAAACGAATCATTCAAGTAGCACAAATGTTGCCAATACTATACCAAGATCAGTTCCTAGGCTGTTTCAAATAAGAAAACCTTTGTAGTGTAAATACAACTGGTCCTTGTTCAGTTGGTACTGAGTACTATGGGGCTTCCTGAAAATATGGTAAACATACAACTACCCTGGATTTCTAGGTGTATGTAGGAATCTGAAATTCAGGGGATGCATAAAGTGCTCCTGTTTGCCCTAGAAAAACTGCAGGAAGGAGGCAGCTGCTTCCCAGAAATAAGCTCTACCAATAGCCAATAAATCACACTCCCAAGGCAACTGGGAGTTATAGGGAAAGTACCTCCCTGAAGGTGTTTGTGCAGAGTACCCAGCAACTGCCAGCCGATGAGGCTTTTCAGTCACTGACTTGGGCTGAGGGAGAAAGGACAAAAGCAGGAAGTGTTCCTGTTTATCTAGACCATCTCTGGGAGTTAATTACACTCGGTGGAAAGAAGGGCAGGGGTATCACAGTCTGTTGGATTATAGGTCAGGCTTTCCAGCTGCACTCAGATGAATGATGAAGCTGTTGGAAACTCAGTGACAGCCAACATGAAGGAGACCAGGAGAGAAGACGAGGGTCTGGGGAGAGGTTGACCAGCAGCAAGGGCTTGCCCATCTCATGATGGGAGGCTGCAGGTATACTAGGGCCTTTTTGTTGTCTGTAAAGCTTAGAGGAAACGGTTTCTCCCTTCTCTAGATGACAGCTTATTTTTCAAATTTCTCTTAAAAAGTACAAAAATATTCAATTATGTCTTGGTTCATTGTTAAAATGTTTGGGAAGTACCTGAGTCACTTAAGTCCCTGAAGGTGAAATCTACAATACACTACACAACACCATCCATAATGTTAAGTGAGACAGCTACAGAGAGCCACATACAAAGAGTAGGGCTTCATGTTTATGAAAGAGTTTGAAGTAATGGAGCAATCAATATGTGACTGACTGGGAACAGGCAAGAAGGGAAAACTGCCTCTTGGATAGCCCAGTAGGTATGCGTGGTCTTCATTTCTGATATGGCATGTACACTCCCATACAAATGGTGGAATAACTCATAACCTATACCTCTAAAGACCTACACTACAACCCCATGGAAACCCTCACAATAACTGCACTCAACTGCTTTCTTCAGGTTTTCAACATTCTTAATGTATGAAATTGCTTAGCACAGCCCTAAGGTTATGTGGAAGGTGTTAGAATTAAGATTAAAAGTGACCATTTACTGAAAACTTACTATGTCCCAGGCACTGTTTTAAGTTCTTTTGTATGTATCACTCATTCAGTGCTCACAAAACCCTTGAGACTAGGTGCTATTGTACACCTGTTGTACCAAAGAATAAACTAAGGCACATATCAGGCAAATGATCTGTCCAAGGTCACAGTAAGTGGCAGAGCTGGGATTGGAGATTAAGTTGAGCTAATTAAACTAAGAGATTAGCTTGAGCTCTTGGTGGGGCTGGGTGGGTGGAAATATGCTCACCACTGGCCAAATCCCAATTCAACCAGAGCAGCTGCACTATTAGGCTTCCCTTTAGTTTGTCTTAATACAGAACATGGCTATTCAAACTGCTGGCACACTACCATACTGAATTTTGACCTTGGTCTGGCTGTAGTTAAACCCTGCGTCCTTAGGCAAGTCACTTTTGGGCACTGGCTTTCATTTTAAAGAAAAGGCTGTGGGAGGGCCTCCCCGGTGGCGCAGCGGTTGAGTGCTGGGTTGCGAAGCTGCCTGCAGCCTCTGCAGCACTGGTTCGATTCCCGGCTGCTCCCCGGCCACCGGAGGAGGATCCCACATGGCGCGCAGACCTCCCCTGCCGCCCGCTGCTCCCCTCAGCAGTGTACTTCGGCCCTTCTGCCTGCTCTGCTCCCCGCTCTGGCTCTGGTGAATTCTCTCACCCTCCCGCACTTCTGACTGTACCCAGTGCATGTATAAACAAAACAAACAAACAAATAAAATAAATAAATAAAACATGCCTCTATTTAAAAAAAGGAAAAAAAAAAAAGAAAGAAAAGGCTGTGGGAGCTGTTGCTCTGAAACATTTCTACCAATGTTTCTATGATTCTCCTGCAGATCTAATTATCCCTTTACAACAGACATAGGGATCAGAGGCAACATGTTAAACAAAGCCACGAGGATGCAATCAGTGAACTCTAGTCTGGGTGAAACAAAGCAATGATCTGGTCTCATCAACGAATAAACTGACAGGTTAACCTACAGATTGAAAGAAACTCAAAAAGTATATTGACCTTACAATATTCATGCTACAAAGGGAAATGAGTCAAAGGGAGAAATATGAACACTGACTGGATAGCTGATGATATTATGAAGCTTACATTTTCAGGTATGATCAAACACTGTGTTTCTGTTTTAAAAAGGCCTTTTAAGAGATATACATGTACTGAAATAACGATTTTAGATGTCTGGTATTTGTTTCAAAATTAGTCCATGACAGGGCAGATGGTTTTATTAATGAAACAGGACAGGTCCTGAATTGTCTGTTGTGGAAGCTGAGTGGTGAGACAGGGAAGTTCACTACAGTAGTATTTTCTCTATGTGTTAAAAAGTTTCCATAATAAATATTTTTAAAATGATGATAAATTTTGTAAATCTAGTTAAGTTGAACAATTGCAAAGTGAGTTTTGAGTCAGATTGCGTAAAGAAACTCCTTAAATCTGTGCATCTTCACTTTTATAATAAATCATCTGAATCTCCTGCAGTTGTCATCAACTGTTTTGCAATGCTTATAATCTACTGTAAATTAACACTCTTTATCCTTAGCTGTAGGCTTTATTTATGAAAATCAATTATATCACAGGTCTAGTGTCAAGTCCCTGATCCATAGGAAAAGCATCCATTTCCAACAGACAAAAAATGAATATAAACAGGTCAATGAGTTAATTATTTCCTTCAACTGCTAAAACTTTAGTGGTTTTATACTTACTCTAATTTTACTAATTTATTAACAAAGGTAGGCTATACTTCAGGGGCAGTTTTCAGTATGAGAAAACAGCAGTTAATCCCACTAAGGTAGGTAGGAATCAATAATCTAAACTACCAGATCTTTTTGTTTGTGACTTGTTATTTTTTTGGTAGATAAAATATTGTGTCTTTTTCTAAGACTCCAGAACTCTATGATAATGCAGCTTCGAGTTTTTGGGATCTAGTGAGTTTGAACTAAATGGCTCACACACATGCAAGAACAGAACCCACCCTTAGGAAATACGTTGTTTTCTTCTTGAAAAGTCTAGTTTCAGTAGCTAAAAATTCAGAGCATAAACACATAATCAAACCAGGCAGATATTTCTGCTCCCTACCCATCTCCAGATGAAATACGCAGCTTTGAAAGACTGAGGAAGTTGTAACTGTATGTTCAACTTACATATACAATCTGGGATCTGAGGTCAGAGTGTCAATGTTGATGTGCTGTTCCAGCAGACTGTAGGCCAGGATGGGCAAGGATGTGAAGCAGATATTGTACATTGTAAGGTAAGCGGCATCATACAATGGCTGAAATGACAACCAACAGAAGATAAAGAAACATACTCTAACAATCATCTGGCAAGAGGACATTTATGTGTTTGGCAAATTCACAAGCTAAAACAAGACAGGTTCACTTCCCTTTTTTTTTTTGGGGGGGGGTGACAGCAAAATAATTTTTATAAATAAAATCATTCTTACTGGTAATTATAAAAAAGAAACTAACATAATGTGATGCACCATATTCGGATACCCTTCCTTTAGAAGGCTCTCATCCAAAAGGCTACGAGCTATAAGCACTATTTCTAACAGATATTAACTGATATTTCAAAAGATTTTTCACAGTGAACAAAAAGTCCAACTAAGGAAGCTCTTGGAGAAATTCAAAATAGGAAGGAGTCAGCCTGTGTCAACAGTTTTTTTGGTTAATATTCTCATAGTTAAAAATATTACTATCACCATCTCCATGGTATACTTACGTTATTAAATGAATGTATTCACAAAAATAAAGCTAAATATATGTACATGGGTATGACTTCCAACTCTTTCTGGTCCTGAATCCCACAGGCTCCAGAATCAAAACTTTCCACTTTTTTTTTTAAGATTTATTTTATTTATACAAGAGCTAGGGTACAGGCCAGAGGCACGGGAGGGTGAGAGGATTCACCAGAGACAGAGCTGGGAGCAGAGCAGGTAGATGGACCGAAAGGACTGCTGAGGGAAGTGGCAGGCGAGACAGGAGAGGTCTGCCATGCCATGTGGGAATCTCCCTGGACGGCTGGGAATTGGACCCGTGCTGCAGAGGCTGCAGACAGTTTCACAGCGCAGCGCTCAACCTGCTATGCCACCGGGAGGCTCAAAAGACTTTCAACTTTCTGTTGGCTATTCCGTAAGCACCTGCAACTCAAAATATCAACCTAACCTTATCAAGTTTCCCTTCTACCCACTGTCTCCTGTGTAGCTTGTCTCGGTGACAGGCCCCACAATGTTTACAACACTAGTATCTCCCTTGGAGCCTGGTACCAATTAAGTGCTCAAGAAATATTTTGAAAAGAGGGATTCTCCTCCTGCCTTACTAGGCATTCTTCCAGTCTCCTACTGTTTGGTCTTTGGAAGTGTATCTATACTCAGTTTCATTCAGTCCTGTGGGTTTAATACCACCCATTCACGGAAAATCCCCAAATATCTATCTCTGGCTCAGACTTTCCCCCCCGAACTCAGGACTCACATATCCAAATGCCCATGTGACATCTCCTTTTAGGAGTCTAGCTTATCTCAGACTTCACATGTCCAAAACCAAACTTCCGATCTGCCCTCATCTCACACCTGCTCTACTCGTGAGCAGAGCATCTTTGGAAAGGACAACCAAATCTTTCTTACCAATCAGAACCAATGTCCTGGATTTATCCTGACTCTTTCACACTTCACATCCAGCTGATTAGGAAGTGTCTACTGGCTCTACCTTCATATTAAGAAACGGATCAATTCATTGTTACCACCCGGCAAGCCCCCTTAATGGTCTCCCTACTTCTCTGCTTGACCTACAGTCTATACAATGCAATGGCCAAGCAGTTCAATTAGAAAATAAATCAAGGCACGGTTTTATTCAAACTTTCAAATGGATTCTTATGTCTCTGAAAGCAAACAAAACAAAGTTCTTACAAAGGGGTGGCTATAAAACCAATCTGGCTTCTACTGGTCCTTATTGCTAATCTCTACCACCCCTTGCTATTTCACTGGAACAGCAATGGCTTCCTCACAGTCCATCCAACACCCCAGGCTCGCTCCTAACTTAAGACCTCCTTTGCCCCTGCCTGGCTGTTACCCCTAATTAGAACATTGCTCCTCATTGCTTCTTTACTTCCTTGTTTCTTTCAAATCTCAGCTTAAATGTTACCTTCTCACTGTGAACCTTGATTTAATGTGCCACTCCCTCTCTTATGGACCTACCTTCCCTTTATCCTGTTCCTTTTTTCTTTTCCTCTAACTGCCTTCTAACTTAAATTATGAATTTATTGTATTTACCATCTGTCTCTTCACACTAGAATTTAAACTCTATGAGGGTAGGGTTTTTTTTTATATATTCTATTGACATTTATAGCTTGAGAAAGAGCACAGCAGTCCATGTCATGCAGCAGTAGTGCGCCTGGCAATCTCAGCTAGGCACTGGTGTTTGCTTGTCAAATATGAACTGTTTCACAGAATAGTAACATTAAACAAAGCCACTCTGTGACCATGATGGATCAAGACGGAAACAAGACCACTCCATAAGCATGCCTAAACACGTGAATAATATCCGTATCACAAAAATTACAGATGACCACTGCTTCTTTGTCAGTGATACAGTGATAGCTTCCTTCTAGTCTTCACTCCTCCTGTATAAGATTTATGGAAATGCCTATTCATACAGTTACACCCCTTTGACTGATAGCATCCAATGTACAGCAAGTTCCCACCTTTTAAACTTTTCCCCAAATCACCTAACTCAAGCACAAACTCTATAATAAGATTTTTTTAATACCCTCTTTCTGAGAGACCCTATGGTTCCTCACATGTACATTGTGTCTTGCTAATTTAATCAACTACAAGTATGTTCCTGGTGGTCTTTGGCCTGGAGGGCTTTGACAACCTTGAGCTCCTACCACAGAACTTGACATACAGAAAACATTCAATAACTACTAGGTGAAGGAATGAGTAGATATTTGAAGACATGACACATTTGTAAAGCACTAATCTGATACTATAAATTTTTATTTACTAAAAAAATTAAGGTATCTATGAACCTCATTTTGATTAAAGTACTTATTGAGTTCAGTATTTTTCTATACAGTGTTAGATGTCATTATACAACCATTACCTGTGACCTGAATAAATAATATCCCATATTCACATGTATTTATCACATACATTATTTCTTGGTTAATATCAGGCATTTCAAACAATGCCTAACAAAGGTACAATTACTATTATAATGGGTTGACTCAAAAAGGTTGGGAACAACTTGAATAAAGCAGTAGGTCATTCATAGGGTAATTCAAAAAACATTTACTTTGTGCTTATTAAGTGACAAATATTGGGGTCAAAGAAGATTCATCCATCTGTCAAGGAACTCAAATTCTAGAAGAGGGAGTGGTGATTACATAAGTAGGCATGGGGGAGCACAGAGGAAGGGACCACAGTCCCGGGCTGTGGTAGAGACAAAGCAAGAAATAATGTGATGTTCCCAGTGAAAATACATCTCTAGGGCCTCCCTGGTGGTGCAGGGGCTGAAGACAGTGCTGTTGGGCACAAGTTCGATCCCCAGCCGGCCGGGGAGCTGGCCCACATGGCACAGCAGTCCTCTACTGCCTTGCCTGCTGCTCCCCGCAGCAGTGTGTTTCAGTGGATCTGCCTGTTCTGCTCCCCACTCTGGTGAATCCTCTCACCCCCTACCCTGCATCTCTGGCCCACACCCTAGTTCTTGTGTGCATAAATAAATAAATCTTAAATTTTTTTTTAAATACATCTCCACATAGAACATGGAGGTGCTTTCCACAAATATTTAGACTCAGCAAAAATACTCTACTGAATTAAAAAGTATCCCCCAAAATATATTATATTCCTTTTAATTCTCAAGGGAAAGGACAAGTCTGTTGGCACACAACACTACATTTTCAATGGAAACTATCCATTTTCACAAATGAGTAAATTAAAAAATAACTCAGTTGACTAGTGTGCAATTTAGTCTTGAATTTCATTTAACAAAAGCAGCATCAATCTACTTTTATTCCACTATGGTACTTTGAGGTTACATGAGAGATAATTGTAATTCTTAGATGCATAATTACAGGAGAAAGAATGCCCTCCAAACAAACAACAGGTTTAGCAGATAATACAGTTTCTTGTTAAACCTGTTACAAATATTTTCATAAAAAAAGGGTCAGTAGTATGCTAGTTTTGCTACAGAGTAGTTTTTGGTTTCTTATTTACATTCTCCATAGCTTGCTCTTCAAGTTCCAGAGTTGCAGAAAATACCTGATGTGGATCTGAGCTGAAAAGGGCTGACTTCCCTTTTAGTGCTATATTCAGTATTAGCACAAAGCAAGAGTAAAAAATAAACATATTGCACATCACATCACCACCTCAGAAAGACCTTCCTCTTACCTACTACTTTTCTCTAAGGTGCCTTTACAGCAACTTACCTCATCCTCAGATCTCTGCCCAAATGTTACCTCATCAGAGAGAATTTCCTAGGCCATCTTCTCTAAAACAGTAGCCCTCTTCTTCAGGCACAATCTATCCATTTATTATGCTTTATTGTTTTTCTCTAGAACGAGTCAATATCTGATATAATATATTGTGTAATTATTGTCTGTCTCTCCTCTTTATCACTGTACTGCAAGTTCCAAGGGGGTTAGAGTTTGTTTGGACCACTGATATCCCAGCACTTTATCTGGCACATAGTAGGCAATTAAGAAATAATTGTTAAATAAGTGAACCTACCAGTTGAGCAACTGAGAAAAGCAAACATCAACTCCTATGGACACCTGAGTAGTTAAGGTTACCTAAGCATACTCCAGACAGCCTGGAGTCTAAAGCTCAGTTGGCTTCATAAGGAGTAAGCCCTTTCTTTCTTTCTTCAGACAATTTGGTAAACATGTTTTAAAAGGATAGCAGTGCAACAAGCTCCTTTCAAAAGGAAAACAATGTTTTAGCCAACTCCCCTTTAGCAATCTGCTACAATGATTCAAGAAAACATAAAATGTCTTTTTAATGCTTGCATTTATTAAAGGAAGTGAGGAATTAGAAACACTTTGATTAATAGTAATCTGAATGTTTGAGAAAAGCAGATTCATCAGAATTTGTAAAACTCTGTAACTAATCTTGTTAGTGCTGAATACAGGAAGGCTGATGGCAATTCCTACAGTTGGTAGATGATTAATTCATATAGCAATCTGTTTAACTGGCTCCATGGGGCTGATGACATAGCACTGATGTAAGAGATGGCATAACAAATGGCAAAGAGGCAAGTTAAAGAGAAAGAGAGCAGTCAATTCCCATTGAGAATACATTGTCCTAAACAAATTCTGCCAAGAAATTTGAAAACAAACAAAAAGAAACCTTTCTACCATGAGGAATGAGCGTGCCTTGAAATTTGGAAACTCAGTCTCGAATACCTGTGGTGATGTTACCAGTAGCCCAGCTTGGCAAATTCACTGATAGGCTCATAGATTAGCAAATTGCAGAGTCATTGAACATTATATCTCCTACACTTAGCTATACTCCCGCTAGAAGCAATGCCAAAATCCATTTCAGTTGTTAAAACAAACCTACAGATGTGCTGCCCATCCCACCATTTATGTATCGAGTTAACATGTTAACACCTTTTAATGTAATCAATATTCACAAAATAACACAAGGCAAAGAACTGAGAGTTGTACATGCAGTCAAAGGCTTTATCTAGCAATTGCAGTTACTTGGCCAACATTTTCCTATAAAATCAATCTGAGAAATGGAAAAGGTATTAAATTTATCTGATGAAATATTAAACTATATTATTTGAGCATTATTGGAAAATACTGTATACACTGATAAAAAACAGAAATCAAAATATTCGTTTTAAGGTTATCTCAAGTCCAACAGGATGTACCAAATATCTTTCAAAAAGAAAGTAACAATATTACTAAAGCAGAGACAGAAACATCTACTATTGTCAAAACCCAGGCCAAGAAAATCAACTGTTGGAAACCTCCACCCTTACCCAAACAAAAAATTCCTTCTACTTTGGACATACCTCTCTAGTCTCTATAAGTCAAGAAATAAACAAATCAATTATTAATAGTAAATGTAAACTACATTATAACAAATAACTAGGGAGACAAACCTGTTGAGAGAATCCACAGAAGAACTGGTACAAAAACTGTGGTAAAATGAAACAAAGATTCTGGGGGAAAAAAAATGGAGAAAAGAGTTAATGTTTTCATTTGAAAAATCGATGACTCTGGATTTCGCTTTGGGAAGCACCTCCAAGAGTGCATTTTTGAGCCAGGTCAGAAACTAGTCTCCCATCTGTCACACATTGTAATTTACCAGGCTGTGAAACTTGGTGCTGTTTTTGTACTTTACCAGGTTGTGAAACTTGGTGCAATGCATCCTCAAAGGATGAATGTCACATGTAGCTGAGGATATTTCAGTGCATTATCTTACAGGATCTGGGGTACAGGCCTAAAAAGAAGTGCTATACATGTTTTGAATAACCCCACTAGCATCAAAGTAAGGTCACAGCTCCCAAGGTCATCACCTGGAAGGGTGACAATCATTTGTATGTACTGGTTCTGGTACAATGCAGAACACTATCAGTAGCATTTTTAGGGTCACGTTTTATTAAAAAAAACAAAAACTCAGGGACTGGAGGAGGCAACACTCCATGGGGACTATGGGCACATTCTGTGGGAAGGACAGGTATGATGCTCCCCCTAGAATTAAAGTTCCATGAGAACAGGTATTTTTTTTTTTTTTGCCCCTTTTAGTCCATGATGAATCCTTAGGGCCTAAAGCTGTGTTTGGCATGCGGTAACCCATCCAAACATATTTGTTGATTGAATGAATACAGAAGTCAGAATTTGAACTAGGCATTAAAGATGAATACAATGTGATAGCAGGAACCAAGGCAAGGCAGTAAGTATGCATTTTAAACATATAAGGTAAGACTATGGGGTGCCAGAAAGTCAGATTAATCTCTGACCTTGGAGAGTTACTGGGGAACAAGCTGAAAAGTGCCATTACACAAGGAAGACTGAATGGAGAAACAGGAGCAGGAAGACGGTCACAGATGTACTCCAGGGGTGGGGCAATAACAACTTGAAGATGCAATGGCAAGCTAAGAAGAACAAAGGCTTGTTAATTCTGCCGAAGCGGGTCAACATATTAGAAATCACTGTGGGACAAAGGGCAGCAAAGAATAAGGAACACTGCTAAATCACTAAGATGATAATGGGCACAGTGATCCCAATGAAGACAGAGGGCATCATTTACATAAATCCCTAAATTGGGAACAGGTATATGTCAATTACTGACCCCTGGTAAACAGAAGCCATTTTAGTGTTTGTTTTATCCCCCTTAACAGAGCATTCCTTCCATCTGGTGGCAGTTGCTTGAATTGCAGGCCAAAATCGAAAGAGGCAAAACCAACTCCCCAGAATAGGATCAGATGGCAAGGCAGATCTGTATGGCAGATCTTCATGGGCTCTGCTAATGGGGGGAGGTTAAGAGAATAACCATACATCCTCATCCTTATGGGAGACTTAAGTTACCGAGTATAAGGACCAAAAAACAGGGGGCCTCCCTGTGGCCTAGGGGTTAAGTCTCAGAGCTATCAATGCAAGGAACTAGCCCACATGGCACAGCAAACCTCTTCTGTCTTGCCGACTGCCTCCCTTAGCAGCATATTTCAGTAAATCTGCCTGTTCTGTTCCCCACTCTGTCTCTGGTAAATCCTCTCATCCCCACCTGAACCTCTGACCCACACCCCAGTTCTTCTCAAAAATAAAGGACTGAAAAACCCTATGATGTACAAAGAATCCAGGACTTAGGAATAAATAAAGCTGTTGTGGAATCTAGCTCTGTCAACTCGCAGTTGGGGAGCTAATGTCAGGTTACATAATCTCTCTGAGTTCTACTTTTCACATATTTTAAGTGGAAAAAAATACTAATCACTTCATAAGAGATCTGTGAAAATTAAATAAGAAAACAAAGTGCTTTTCTGAATATCTTATACATATTGGATTAATTATCATCACCATCCTCATATACATTTTGTCTGGATACCAGTTGATAATTGGCTGGCAGGGCCTTAGCAAATCTATAAACCTGGTTTCATGCTTATACATTTTTTAGCAAATATGAAGTTAATATGAGCTGAGGTTGATGACAGAAAATGGACACACAAAAGCAACTGATGAGCTTTTCCTCCAGTGAAACACAGGGTATAAAATTCAAGTATCATAACTGCTTGAATCATATAAAATGGTCACACGATGTTATGAAATAATGAAGAAATAATAAATACTGGAGAGGATGTGGAGAATAAAGAACTCTGTGCACTATTGGTGGGACTATAAATTGGTGCAGTCACTCTGGAAAACTGTGGTGGTTCCTCAAAAAAGTAAAAATGGAAAAAACTATATGATCCAGTAATCTCACTTCTGGATATTTACCCAAAGAACATGAAAATATTAATTTGAAAAGACATAAGCATTGGACTTTCACTGGTGAGTTTAATACACTGATTTTTATATTTATTTATTTATTTATGCAGACAAGAACTGCGAGAGGACTCACTATAGACAGAGTAGGGAGAAGAACAGGCGGATCTACTGAAATACACTGCTGAGGGGAGCAGCGGGTGAGAGGTCTGCTGTACCATGTGGGTCAGTTCCCTGGCCTGGGCTCAAACTCAGTGGTTCGATGTGCTGTAGTGGTTGCCAATAGCTTCACTGTGCTGAGACTTAACCCCTTGCACCACCAGGGAGGCCCACAATATATACTGATTTTAATGATGCATAACTGAAACTTACAATGCAGTGCTATTCTAATTAAAAAAATGAAAATAAAACAAAACAATACCAATCTTATCTGCCCACTCTAAAATAGCCTTTTAAACTTAAAAAAATCTCAAATCTCATATTAAGAAATTTCTGATTTTTGATTCATTATACAAATATCAGTGCTAAAACAACAAAAATAAGGGGAAAAACCCTACAACTTAGCTGAGCCAACACTGAATTAAACAGTTATTTGTGAAATTACAAATGTTTTATCACATACCTTATAGAAGAAATACTGTACAAGGTGTGCTATTCTCACATAATAGAGATGTCCATGAGCCAATAGCAGTTTCTTCAAATGCTTAAACTTTGGAACAGAATAATCACTATTCCTAGCTGCTTGGCGACCTTCTTTGCCTTTAATACCTAAAAGAAGAAAATTTCTACAGGGTGAATATTTTAATGAATAAGCAATGCCAGATTTCTTATTTTCAGATTTTTAACTTGCTTCAATGTTTATTTCAATTGTATAGTTCAGCTTTGTTTTTTATTTTTAACCAAAAAATGCTTTTTTTGAATAGGTAATTTTTAATTACCTATTTAGAACATAATTAAATAGAATTATGACACACTAAGATAATTAAACAGAATCATTACTTTAATCATTATAAAACAAAATTATCTAGAGAAAAAAAATTCTCACCTTTCAAAAAAAAAAAAAGTTGGCAAGGTGTTAGGTTTGCTGCCTAACAGCAGTCTGACAGAGAAAAATGGTACAGATCATTGAAAAGCTGATGTTGCACATCAACATATAAATTCAACACTACAGCCCAAACTATAGACAATGTCATATGGAAAAGCAGCCAGCCAGTTATCATTTCTTAGTCCCAAACAGCTAAGAATCTGAGAAGATATACTGCAGCAACATAAGCAGGCAATTAGACCAGGGTAGGAAAAATCAATAAAGTTTCATGCATGCTGTCAAAGCGAGAGCTAAATGATCAATTGTGCTGCTAGTAGGTTTGGGATGTTCTCTTTGCTTGGCTAATAATAAAAATATTCTCTTTGTATTGCTATATTCCCACCAGAGATAGGATTCTGGGATGGACATGTTCCACGATTCGATGAGGTCCATCATTTGATTAACAATTACTCCCAAATTCGAATTCAAGATGAACCACCAAAATAACGTCTCTAGAATATGACAGCATTCCACCTAAAAGCAATACTGAGAGTTTACAGCTGCCATCTCATTAGATGTTTCTTACCTATTCCAACATGGGATTCCAAGATCATACTAACATCATTGGCACCATCACCTATCGACAGTGTTATTGGGCTGCCTTTTAAATTCTTCACCATTCTGACAATCTAAACATTAAATACAAAAGAGGTACAGAAAAGGTCAAAGCAGAATGTGAGATTATACTTTTTTGGGGTTCATGCCTCATTCATATTTTAAGTGGGGGCTTTGCAAACACAAAGGTAGCTTGTGCACATATGGCCAAGAGTCTTGAGTTTTCTGGAGCAGCATACAGTTATTCAACACTAGACCTTATTAGAGGTAGACACATTTCCTTCTACTGGTGCTGGTTCATGTCCTTTCAGACCAGGTGTTGAATGTGTGACAGTAAAGACAAGAAAGCTGATTTGAGGTAACATGCGTAGGGTTACCGGAACAAAAATGAAAAGTGAGAGAAAAATTATTTTAGTCACCTCTCCCATGATCCTCCCTCTCTGCTGACATTCCCACATCCCCTCAGGATGAACCGCCCCTCACCAACCCTTATTCCCAAGGACTTATTTAAAATGTCAGATGTTTCCACCCATCTAGCTGCCAATTCAACTTTACTCGGTCTCCTACTGCCCAATATGATTTACCTATCCTACAGGTAGCTCTATTTTAAAAGGGGGCATCTTAAAGGTAGTAAGATTTGCAGAAGAGACTCAAGGTATGTGCTTGTTACTGTTCCCTGGGTGTCTCTTCAAGATGTATCAATGGAACAGTCCATGCCAGCGCTGTGATTCTGCTAGGTACTGAGTAAAGAAGTCACCTTCTGGTGGGGTTATTGGCAGGAAGTATGCTGGGTAAACAGTTGCCCTCCCACCATATGTTTTAGATCATGACTGCTTCATGTATCAACTCTCAACCCCTTGGAATCTAGCAGCTTTTAAAAAAATTAAATAAGGCTATAGCCAAATAATGCCTTGTAAAAATTCTGTCCTTACAACTGCTCTTATCAGTTAACAAATAGTCTATTTTCAACATAACTGAAGTCATTAAAATAAATTTATGAAGTGAAGCCACATTGCAGTCTTTCCTTTGAACAAAATTCGGTCAGATTTTAGTTGTATTAAATAGCATATGAAACCCCACATGCAATTCCATTTAACAGAAAAATAACGTCATCATGAATGCCAGCTTTATCCCAATCCCTCTCCTCAACTTGGTTCTGTTTGAAAACTTTATAAAACCATCAGAAATAATCTAAGTGGAAGAGTCAATGATAAAACTAAAGAATCCACAGTAAATTTTTGTATGGACCACACTATTGTTCATCTAATTGCCCCATTACACCATGTGCAGTCATGATTCACACCTCAAGGAAGTAAAACTGCAGTCAGGGAGTCTGGGGGAGGCAATAAAATGAACAGGGGTAACAGCTTCTGCATGAAAATATAACTTAAAAAAACTAAAACTTGTCCTTGTGGAAAGATAAAAGGATATATGGTCATAGAATGGAAAAACCACGAAAAATTTAGATAGATAAACATGGAGCTTTATACTGAGCCCCAGGTCACCTGGATTAAGAACATCTCTTCAACTGCCAGAATAACATCCTGAAAAGAAATCAATTCACCAGGAACCATTGATTGGGCAATATAACTGCATGCAATACAATGTGCAAAGATAAAAAAGAAATATGTATGTATACATACACACACACACACACACACACACATATATGAGTTGGTGACACACCTTAAGGAGCAGATAACATGGTAGTAGAGATCACATGTGAATACAAGAGTATTAGGTAATTAGACTAAGAGGATAAAAATATGCAATATCTGTGCAAGGGAATATGTACCATTGTCATCTAACTTGTCCACCTAAGAAAGTCCATGGAGAGGATTTATATGCCAGAGCAATCAGGAATGATTTTATAGAAGAAAGAGTGATTTGATCTAAATCATGAAAGACTGGCAAGATCTGCATGGTTAGGGAAAAGGAGGTTGGAGGAGTATTCTAGAGAAAGGGAACGACAAATTCCAAGGCAAACAGCAGTTAAGTACACGCTCAGAAAATAGGTGTTGCTCGACCAAATAAAGGAATTTTCACGTAGAGAACATGGATAGGCCAGATCAACAGAAACTAATGGAAGTGGCAGTAGGGTGCAGGAGGAAACGAAAGAAAAAACAAGACTATAGACAAGGAGTGGAGTTAGGTGGTTAGTTGTAAGTAGATTTCAGTGAGTTGTTAAAGTCTAGGCCTGAAAAGGAATGAAAGGAAAGCAGTTAAGTAGAAAAAATAAGGTACTAGAAAACAGACAATTTGGTGACTGAGTCCACATGGAAGGGTAAATCATGGGGAAAGTCAACAGACTTCAATGGTTTGAATCTAGAAACCTGTAAGTATAATGAGTTCAGTAATAAACATAGAAAAAGAGAAGGAAGATGATGGCCGGGCTTCTCAGAAGGCTGAGTTGGGATGATAATGACACATACAAAGAAGTAAAGCAGAACCCAAATGATTTGAATTGGAGATGTGACTTGAACATCACCTGTATAGGGACATGATAACCAAGAAGGTTATTCTGGAAGAAGTGTGATTATAGTGAGAAATAAAACTGAGGACTGAACCTTGGTGTGGGAGGGTGGGCATTTCATATTCTAGTGGGATTAGCACAATGGGGTTTGGAATTCAGATACCAACTTGAGCAACGGACAATGAATGTGAGGGGTAGGGGCAAGGGAACGGAGATACTGCCTCTGACTAAGGTGACAGATTTTTATGGATCTGCTTCTCTATTTGGGGTTAACCAAGCATTTGAAGGTTGATAAAAAGTAGTGAACCTGCTTGTAGTGGGGACTGACAGCAAGGAGGCATTGCCCTAAATTAGGATGGGCAATGTAGTTCTGTGTGCATGCATGTGTATGGCAGCGTGTGGGTGTAAGAGTAGTCAAAGACACAACCATTTCCTTGGTCTCAAGCAAGCAGCTGAAAAATATGAGGAACAAGACAAACACATATGAAAGAATACAGAACACAGAGAAGTAAAAAAGTAATGTGTAACTGAGACTCTATAAGATTCACTGTACCTAATGAGAACAAGGAGTCAAGGTGAAGCTGATGGCTGTAGGCTGAAGGAGCAGGAAGACAGGATATGGGAAGTGGCCCTTGAGCTGGGTTTTATTATGAATAAAACTTTTGTTAGGTGAGGGGGAATTCAGAGAATTCCAGATGGGAAACTATATGAGGAACGTTTGGGAAGTTGACCTGAGTATGGCATGTGGAAGGGACAAAAAGAGGGAACAACCAACTGGAGTGGAAAGCTGCATATGGGAGTGATGGTGGGCACAAAATATCCAGAAGATACAATACGGGCCAACGGGGTGAGCCCCAAGCAGCATGCTGAGTCATCTGCGCTTCATCTTAAGGATGTAGAAACTACGAGAAGAGTCTAAACAAGAATATACGATGGGAAAACTAGTGTTCTAATGAGATTAATTTGGGAGTATGGGGAAAGAGAGTGAAGGAAAAAGCGTGAAAGCAAGGAGCCTAGTAAGGAGACTAAATCAACGTCTGTGTATAAAGCCACAGGGCTTGGATTAAGCTGGAGGTAAAAGGTTTAAAAGTATGGCATAAAATGGGAGCTATGACAAAAGGTAGAATCAACAGGACATGGTGACTATGGTGACTATATGTGGAATGAGAGCGAAAAAAGGGGTCAAAGGTAGTTTGCAGACTTAGGGAACAAAAGAAAAACAGTATTGGTAACAGAAATAATAAAGAGACGGGATAAAACAAACTGACCTGAGGGAGAAAACTGTAAGATCTGTCTTGGACACTGGAATTTATTGTGACAGTGGGGAATTCATATGGCGCTATCAAGCACGCAGCTAAAAATATGACACTTAACATCAAGGAAAAGTCAGGACCAGATCTGTATCATCTGGAGTCACAGAAAAGGATGCAGTTATCCAAAGATAGTCTATAAGTGAAAATCAGAGGGAAGACTTAGCTCCAGAGCAAGCTGATAGTTAGGGAAGAGATAGAGAATGAAACAAAACAAAAAGGTACTTAGGTTTCCAAGGACCATGCACCATCACAGAAACCAAGGAAGGAGAATTTTAAAGAGGATATAATTGATAGTGTCAATTGTAGTAGAGAAATGAGGAGAATGGAAGATAGCCTGAGGGATTCAGCAGGGAGGTCACTGCTCTCCCCGAGGCAATACAACCAGGGGTAACGAGAAGAAAAATGTGTGGGACTCCTGTAATAGGAGAGCCAGGAGCAGTGGGGTGGAGGCAGCAGGCAACAAGCACTCATTACAGAAGTTTAGAAGGCGAGTGACTGGACAGCAAGCTTGAGGGAAGAACAAGGCTTAATTTATGATCATGGCATCTCCCTTGGTAAAGATTTAATTCAAATTGTGTTTTACCATAAAGAAGCAGCAGCCAGGGAATATGTAACAAGGGAATAATGGCTCTCTGAAGAATACACAAATGAAAACTAAAACGACTATTTGCACGTGTATAGAAGTACCTGGAATGGAATATTAACTAATGTCAAGTTACCTGGGCTTTCTGCAATGGTGCCATCCGACAGCAGAGTACTGCAGTACACTTCATACAAATTTGTAGAAAAATGTTTTTGTAATTGTTAGAACTGGAGTCTTGACTAGAATTTAATATGAGTGACAATGTGGAGCCATCAATGATTAATCCATATTCTTGGTGTTCTGTCCATGCTCTGAAAAAGAAAAACAACGCTGTATTTAAATCTATTATACATTTCTGTTTAGGAACCTGATTTTTTTTAACCATAGAGAGGACAGTTCCAGGTAAGAGTCATCATCCAACTGGTTCTTAAACCTATAAATACGAAAGAAGTAACTTTCTCAGTGACACAAAAGAGACACACATCTTTGCAACTCCAGCTGCCTGTACAGATGGCAGTAAGTTCTAACCATCACAACCGGTTTCTGTATAAGAAACTCAGCATGAATTTTGGAAGTAACAGGTCAAACTCTCATACGAAGACAAATCATCTGTCTGCAAACTTCTTAACAACACAGGGAAAAGACAAAATGGTTTTAGGGCACACAAATCAGAGAAGGCCTTTCCCTAATCTCTCTGCCCAAGTGACAAAACCCATCAATATACCTGACTTCTCAAATAAGATGCAGTACCCAAAAAACATGGTGTTCATTAAAGGAAACCTTGTAATACTGATATATGTTCATTATATAAGTGTCATTTTTATAAGAGGTTAGTGCTTCTCAAGCCTAGACTTACCATTAGAATCATCTGAGCAACTTATAAGAAGTGCCTGTGCCTAAAGCCTGACAGAGTATTTTTGGGGCAGGCTTGGTTATAGATATAGACAGGGAAGGGATAGAGTTAAAGGCTGGGAGGTGGTTTTTAGGCATAGTCAAGACTAAGAGGTATTAGGTGCTTGAGAAGACAAGTGTAACAGGAGCTAAGTATTTAAGGAGAACATACAGAGAAAAACTTATACCTGAGAAAATTCTACCCATTAACATTTCTTTTTCTTTGCAATTAAGGGAAAAAACAGTGATTATTTGATTTTTGGAACCTTGGGTGCCATTTGAGAACCACCAGTAGTGGAAGTACTAGACACAGCTGGATCTCATAATTCATTTGTCTAATTTTATGCTTCTCAAAATTCAATGCTTAAAGAAATCTTGTTAACATTCCTGGGGATCTTACTAAAGAACAGATTCCGGTTCAGTAGGTTTGGGGTTGGACCTGAAGTTTTGCATTTCTAATAAGTTTCTAGTGATAACAGACCAGCTGTCTATGGAGCAAATTTCAAATACCAAGAATCCAATGCACCTCAGTCCTTTATTATTCTATATTTCTTTAGTGTATACTGCTAACACCATTATAGTATTTTGTACTTACCCATATTTTGTATCATAATTTTCAGCATGGTTTAGTCAGTAATTAGAGATCTATCAATCATGTGTGTACCTTTTTTGCTCCCCTACTCAGAGTTGATTTAATGTGTAGAAAAGAGTGGCTCAATAATCAACCAGGTAGTATTTGTAAAAATCAACTACAAGTAGACCGGATAGAAGAATGGAAAGAATTATTAACTAATCTTTCCTTGGAGACTAGAACATCTCCTTGGAGTGATAGCATATATGAGAGAATATACCAAACCAAATAAGATGGCTAATGCCAAGTGATTGGGACAATACATGCACATAGGAAAACTTTACCAGAGGATTATTTGTGAGATGGTATCTGAAATGGAACTTGAAAGACAGGTCAGAGAGAGGTGAGGGAAAGAATGTATGTTGTGGTGCACCAGGGAAAGCAAGATCAAAATGTTACATGGTGCAACCTGATTCTGCTGGGAATGAAGAACCACAGAAAGTTTCTGAGCAGGGCTCGGATATGGGCAGTACTTTATACTTCAGGAGCAGTCGGTTTGGCAGAGGGTCTTAAGGTATTTGAGGCGTGGGTTGCTACAAATCTGATGTGGGGCACGGAAATGTGGACAAAAGCTCGGAGGCTAGTTTGAAGTGGAAGGGACAAAGGAGCAGAAGTTGGCAAAGGTGATTCTGGGCCTGAGGTCTGTATAACTCAGGGAAAGACCATACTCAGCTCCAAACAGATAAGCTAAGAAGAGGATGATCTGAGTTTTCTATAATCTGTGGCTTTTACCTAAATGCTCAAGAGCTGCTAAATGCTGCTATGGAATGAACCGTGTTCCCTCAAAAGTTGTATAGTGAAGTCCCGGCTCTCAATGTGATGTATTTGGAGTAGGAGCCTGTAGCAGAGAATTAAGTTTAGATGAGGACAGGAGGGTGGAGCCCCTTATTGATGGGATTATTGTCCTTATTAAGGACAGAAAAGATACCAGAGCTTACTCTGAGAACTCAGTGAGAAGGCAGCCATCTACAAGCCAGGGAGAGGTCCTTCAACAGAACGCATGCTGGCATTTGAATCCTAGACTTCTGGCCTCAGAAAAGTGAGAAAAACATTTCTATGGTTTAAGTCACCAGTCTGTGGCATTTTGTTATGGTGGCCTGAGCAGATTAAGACAAATGAGCAAGTGAAAGGCATGTAATTTGGGAGTGCCTTTATAAGTACCATTTGGTGAAAAGAAAGGAAACATTTATCATAAGCAATTAATAAAAATCTGTTTACTTTAACTGAAGCCCAAGTACCAGAAGAACAACAGCTGTTTTGGAGTTGGCCAGAGCCTTATGAATGTGGGCTATTCATTTTTAAACTTGTTTAAACACTAGAGATGAGGAGAGAGATTTAGCAAAGTTGTTAAAAGCATGGGTTCTGGAATTGGATAGAGTTGCACCACCCATTAGTTGTGTGATCTCAAACAAGTCATTTCATCTCTCTGAGTCTTAATTTTCCTATCTGTAAAGTGAAGACAATAGGATTGTCTTACTGGGTTGTCATTGAAGATTAAATGAGAATAGTTATATAGAGTACTTAACAATGTCGTTGGATGATAAATGCAAAAAAAAAAAAAATGAAAAAGAGTATTATCTAGGGTCTTTGAATTTAGTGTGGGCATATTTGGTGGCATTCCAGAAAAGGAAATTGATTTGTTTTGGCCAAGAAAAATTCCAGTAATTGGCTTAGATATGGCGATGATTTGGCCAATGGTATATAGACAAACATCTTTAGGTAGTGAACTATTGTGGATCATTGCCTTTCCTTGAGATTCTTAGGCTCCACAAGTTCTTCCTAAGCAGCTAGATTTTGAAAGCAAAAGTTGACGTAGCCATGGTAACAAGTACTTGGTTCCCTTTGGGATTCAAGGGCATGAAAATCCCCATAGAAAATGGATCCAGGACCTCAAAATGCAAGGAAACTGTTATAGGAACTGGTTTTTCTTTTTCTTTTTAAACACTTAAGAGACTATGAAAAGAAATATTTTTTTAACATTTGACCAGGCCAGAATATCAATGCTAAATACCCACATCCTGAACATTTTGAAACTGAACTACTTTTCTAAAATCTTGAGAAGTGCAGGGTTTCTTTTAAATTGAATGAGAGGTAGAAAGTGCCAAATAATCTCAAATGGGCCATTAACCAAGTCCTCGGGGAAGATTTTAACTTACAAGGATAAAACACCTGCAAAGAGTGATAAATTCTGGAAAATGGAGCTTTCTGAGTAAGCAGTTGTGATTTACATCTACACCAATGTCTAAATATAAGAAACTGATGCACTTTCTTACTTTTTAAGGTTTCTAGTACTTTTAGGAAATTCATGCAGCAACTTCTTACGATATTCTATCAATAATTCATGTAATCGATCTTCTTTCCTTTCACTTTCTTCAATGGTTTTTGTGGTCAGTTCCAAGAGTTCGGTGCTGGTTTGGAAAAGGCGGCAGGCATAGCAGGTGGATTTGGCTGTCTCCATCTTGTCACCAGTAAGCACCCAGACTTTCAGACCTGCAGCATGCAGAGCTTCGATGGTCTCAGCTGCTTGATCTTGTAGCCTGGGAACACAAAGGAAACTGCTATTCTTGAAAATTCCTGACAGAGATTCTGCAAGAAGGACTGTTAGAGTGTTTTTATAATTCACAATTCTGGAGTCCTGACAGGTTATCACAGTTGGTTTTCTTATATAGCCTCCAGTCTTTCTGAGAGTGTTACCTCTGGCACAATTTTACTTATTAAATTTTAAACAACGAGGTTTGGAAAAGTTCATGACATTTCTTGAAATAATTGGCACTCAGTGGCAGGACTGAAAATCATTACTCTTAGTTAAAATGTTCAGAGGCTCACCAAACATTCTTTTATTCACCAATTCACCATCACTTTAGCATATTTCATTACATTTTCTATCTCACCATATAGCTACTTAACATGGTTGAAACTGAAATGGTCAAATATTGAGGGAAGTTAGCAAATCCCCATCACATAGGTGCTTTAAGAACAAGAAAGCTAAATATCCTGAAAGAGAATTTAAGCACACTCTGAAAGGAAAGGTTATCTTTGAGTTCCTTTTGGTCAGAGAATAACATGAAATTAAGACTAAATTAATTCCATTAGAATTTCAAAATACCTTCCAATGTGGCTGAATGTGTAACTTTTTGTTTGGTGAAGACATAATTTGCATCTATAATTTCTAAAAAATTTCTAAAATATTAAGTCTAAAACTTGCTGTTTCAGGCAGATTGTGCCCATCCAGTTAAAATAATTATTTCAAAGTATGTAAAAACATGTTCTATTCTGTTATACCAGGTTAGACTAAGCTCTCATGTTGTTTGCTCTATCTTGAATTTTCTTTCTGTTCTTCTGTCAAAATGTTATCTATTCTTCCAGATACCAACTCAAATGATGCCTCGATAGCATAAAGCTCCCTATACATACACTATTTCATAAATTGTGCATAAATAAATGGATGACTTAGTAAATATTCAAAAGGCATTAGAGATGACAGATTCATTCTTCAAAGTCACAAATATTTACTTAAAAATCATTCCCACAAACAGTTCACAATCTGGGGTTACAGACAGTAAAGCTAGATCGAAGATTTTATATCTTGAGAATAAATTACAAATCTAGACAGATACCACTCTAATGATTGGTCATTAAAATAACAAGAGTGTCATTTTCTAGTTACTTGTCTTCCACTGCAGTGGCGCCAATTAAATTCATGTTTGTCTCAATATCATCAAAAACCTTTTCCATTTTTTCTTCTCTGTCTTGTAAGGCCATTTTTGCCTCTATGAGCTGTCTGTTAATTCTTTCATAATCATCTGGAGCAATTTCTTTGAAGGCTACACAAAGTGTCCGGTATCCATCCTAGAAGCAAAGCAAGGGATACCTAATTATCCACATCACAATTTGAAGAAAACCATAGTTTCTTAAATGTTCTTGCTTTACTCCTAAGTACAAAAGAGAATTCCTGACACAGCTATACTTAAAAAAAAAACAAAAAACAAAAAAACCAGCACCTCAAGATAACATTCAATTAAGTTCTGAGTAATAAAATAATAGTTCTTGGAGTAAAAAAAAAAAAAGCAGAACATAAAACAAAGAGTTTTGAAGAAAAGTCTTTAAAGCTGTAAATTATGAATAAAAACTTGCTTCAGTTTTATATTAAAGCAAAGAAAATATTACCAAACACAAAATTAGACTATAAAAATAAGCTAAAATTCATCGAAACAACAATCTCATAAAATGGTCATCCCCAGCATTCCTCTTTCTGCTTATTGGGGGGAGGGGTGTAGACTCACCATTGCATTGCGTTCCACATGGGCTTTAGTTAACTCAATTTCATGATTTTGCACCCTGGGGAAAACTGCTGAGTCTGCTCCTTTACAAAAGAGAAGTATGTCTCCTAAAATAAAAAGCAAAAGTCCTCGTCTTAGAATTTTCAGACCAGTAGTGGGATTCTAACAATGGACTAACTATTAAGGTGACCTCTCCCTCTCCTAGCTGATATGTATCTGAACCTGCCGTGCCAGGAGACATCCTGACCTGTACTCTGTGAGGACATTCATCACCTCCTAAAAGTACTATGGACACAACTAATAACCCAGAGTTGACAACATGCACCTCTGTTCAAATATACTTCCATGGAAGACTGTGCCTGTGTTCCAGAGCTGCATCTGAATTTTCTTTGCAAATGTTACCAACTATGGCCTAAAGTGCTCACGTGGCATCCACAGATGTTAAAGACCAAGCTCTAGCTCAAACAAGATAAAATCACTTTGCATAAACTACACAAGTCAGTCTCTACTGAAAACATGAGGATAGCTTTTGTAAAATACTAGCAGCTTTCTATCAGTCAACATGAACAGTAAGAAAGACATTTCATTCTTATAAGGCAAAAAAGTGAGCTCAACAAGTTTAAAAAAAGTATAGTTCTGAGGACAGGGTCCTAGGTAGACCTCCTCCCTGAGACATCACACCATTTGCAGAATGCAGATACACTTGTACCTACATAAGAACAGCAAGTATTTCAAATGCTAAGTGTTTTTGTCATTTTCTCTCACACATCAAAAGTATGCTTAAAAGCCATAAAACAACTTTCAATCATATGATGAAATCAACTTCATAACTCCGTTATCATACCACAGAGTAAGAATTAAGTGGGACCTGTTCTTTCAAGGGTCTCTGCTAACCATCCCATTCTCACATTAAGGAAACTGAAAAATATTTAATACTAAAAATATGGGAAATCAAAGATATCCTGTAAAACCACCTGGACACCCCCTCACCCTGCCACTGAGTCCACAAATGAAGCAGGAGTGTTTCTCATGGGTTTTGCTGAATCTGGGCAAAAGGCATGCCCTCCACCATGGCTGTTCCCAAGGTCATGTGAGATCCATGTGACCCTGAAAACAAAACACCCCCAAAAAGGGCGTGCTTTCTTGGATTGTCAAACAAAGAGTTCGGAAAGCCAGAGTAAAACTGCAATGCTATTTCCCAGCAGTCTGACCTTAGTCATCTTCTTCTCCCCTGGGCCCCAGAAGTGCGAAGCAGCAGAGGCATCAGGAAGGTCAGAGAGAGATTACTCACTTTCTACACTCAAGGATTCTACTGCTAGTAATCTTAAACCACTCAAATGTAATGGGCTGCTGCATGTAGACATTGTTGATAACTGGGGGACTGGTCAGTATCCGGAACTATAAAAATGTCCCCCTTCAATTCCTATTTGGAAATCCAGGAGTGAGGAGTAGATTCCGGTTTCCAAGAACATGTGTCTACTGGCCTACCAGGGGTGCTGTCACTCACCATTTGCAAACTGAACATATGCACTTTATACAGGAAGGCACAGACAAAAAGCTACTGCTGTGCATGACTTTAGGTAATCATCCACTACTTCATGAAATGTTTTTCTTTCTTGAAATAGTTGGCCAACATACAAATCTACGAACAGAAAAGTGCGTACCTTCTTGATTCTTCACAATTACACTCATACGGCGACGGACAGAATCGAAGTTTAATGTGTGAAGAAGTTCGTATCTTTATGAGAAGAAAAATGAGAAAAGTAAAATACCTAAGTTACCCTGGGAAAATAAAACTCAACAGAAACATCTTAATATATTGAAACATCTTAAATGAACAGAACACTCCTCTTTGGTTAAGGGTCTTGCTGGTTGTTGGAATTTCTCTGCACAATAAAACAAGCTGTCAGAGGACAAAAGTGTTGGTTAAAGGGTATCTATATCCTCTCATTATGTTACTCAAGATGATTGAAAGAGTGACTGCATAAGAAATGGGGAACGAAGAACTGTCCAACCAAGCAGTATCTCGGGAGTGTCCAGGAAAGTCCCACTGTCAGTTTAATCATCTACTGAGTGCCTACTATGTTTCAGGCAGAATACCAGATGCTGATCAACAGACACAAACCTGCCCAAGTCCATTCCTTCAGGGAGTTCACTGTAAGGCAGGCAGAGGATAATGCAACTACAACCCTCAAGTCTGCCAAGTGCTGTAGTAAAGAAACTTACAGGGGAGACAGATGTCAGGGCACGAAAGAAAGACGCCTGGAAGCAGGCTTCCTGGAAGAGGTCAAGCCTGAACTAAGTGCTACAAGAGTGATATGATAAAGAAAGGGGACCAAAGCATTCCAAACCGAGGGAAAAGCACATGCAAAGGCACAGTACCATGAGAGCACATGGCCTATGGGAGGTCTTCTAGTAGTTTACTAAGGCTTGACATCTAGTCAGCAGGAGAACAGCAAGAGAGACAGCAGGGGCTAAGAACTGAGAACAGTGTGGGCCACTTCAGACACGTGGTTTTTATCTTAAGAGCAATAGGAATCCACTGAAGGGTTTAAATAGTAGAAATACACAACAGATTTATGTGTGGATGGTTGAGCTATTAATCAGATGAAAGCATAACAGAAGTTATTAGAAAAACTGTGAGGGAATATGTCCTTGAAAAACAACTTGGGCACATGTATTTGACATAAAACATATTGACTACATAGTTTTTGATGGGAATGAGCAGGCCATTGGTTTTGGTGTACATGTACGTGTTTATGTACACATGAAACATCTACATGTAGCATCTCATTTGGTGTTGCCCATATGGGGACTGTTGTGAACTGGCCTGACTTGGCTCCTGGGAGTCAGGCCAAAGAGCCCTGCTCTGGCTTCTGAGCATTGCTCCTCAAGAGAGCACATCCCCCAAGTGTCACCTTTACAAGTGTTACAGATTTCTGAAATGGGTCTCATGAGGAACTAGGGGCCAGAATGGAAGTTAGATAATTACATTTCGAGTTCAGATGGAGGAATTCAAATTAACCAGAAGTCTAATTAAAATCTGCTAGTAAATCAAGGTGGCTTTATTCATTGGGGTCTCTGTAGCAAAAGAAAGGAAACGTTGGAGACACTGCTGCACCAGAGCACTTGTCCTGAGGCTTACACCTGAGTATCCATAATAAGACAAAGTTTCTGACACCAAAGCTGCTTGGAATGGTGATCCCTGAGTGACCATTTGGGATTTGGACAATCAGTTTCATGCATGTTCACTGACTGTTCTTGTAGTAAGTGTTGGAGACCTAAAATGGCATCTGAATTTTAGAAAGTTGATAGATACTATCACTCAGGCTACTGGACTCACATATGAACCAAATCAAAATTATTTCCACATTAAATCCTAGTTTCTCAACCCAAATGCCCAAAAATAGATGAATGGATCAAGAAGATGTGGTATAGATACACAATAGAATATTATTCAGCAGTCAAAAAAGATAAACTCATGCCATTTGCAGCAACATGGATGGAGCTAGAAGGAATTATGCTCAGTGAAATAAGCCAGAAGGAAAAAGAAAAATATCGGATGGTTTCACTTATAACAGGAATATAGGGGAACCAAAAGAGACATCAGTGTAAAAAAAAATAATTAACAGTACAAAACACAACAAAGCAAAAACAGACAATAATAAATCAGAGACATCCTGCAGGGGAATAGGAGGAAGAGCGGTCGGAGGGAGGGAGGGAGGGCACAGGGGACTGTGGTGATGGTGCACGGGTGCCTTGGGGAAAGAGATTCTATGGGGACTCAATCTGAGGGAGTGGGGGGAAGCAAATATTGTCTAAAAATTTTTTTAAAATGATAAATGTTAAAGAAATAAAAAAAGAAAAAAAAATCCTAGTTTTTGCCATTCTGCGAAAAATGTCTTCTTCTACTCCAACTACATTTACATAAAACTCTGAACTGGGAAAGCAAAGTTCTATATCTGCAGACTTAGCCACTTTCCTTTGCTGTCCTTCCTAAATCCATCTAAGGTTTGACTGTGGGGTTAAGAAGTGACAGACATGAAACACACATACTTACTCTTCTATTTGTTTTTTTTGGTTCTCCACTTTCATATGGCCATTCTGAATTCCTACAAATGTGAACCCATACCTATCAAAAACAATTAAAAAAGACCTTTATATGTTTCCCTAAAGAACAATAAATTTTCTCTTATGCTGGGGTTACTTGTATTTTTTTTTCTCTTTCATCTCATCTCAATCTATAACTGTATTTCCCTTTACTGGCTCAGATGACAACCAGAGAAAGTCAACGCCCTATTCTTGTAGCCAAGGAAGGGACAATTCATAATTCCAATTCTGTAGCAAACACACTGGGTGACCTTTCAGTCACTTAACCATCTTGGGTCTCATGGGTAAAACAGGACTGTCAGTTACCAAATGGTGTCAAAATTGCTGGGAGCGCTTGAGAAATAACACGTGGCATAGAAAAAGTGGCTATTGTAGGATTTGCAAAATATACTAGGAACATTCGGAGTTCTGGCTGGAATGCATTAATCATAATGCAAGTTACATCAATACACTGCCATCTCCTTTTAGTCTTAAGTTAGAATTTTTCACAAACTTTCAGTAAAGCAGTGTAGCTTTTTATTAAATAATAAGTATATTTACAAGATTAGGTTATTGAAGAAAATAAAGAAAAACCAAAAACACTCCTTTGATTTCATTTTTTTTCAAGAAAAGTACAGGAAGTAATAACTTTCCCCCCCTCACTCTTTAAAAATATTAATGCATTTCCCCACAACTTATCTCAGGGTTAAAAAAAAAAAAAGCTTTACTGAGGTATAACCATGATCATATCACTACAAACAAGGTAAAAGACCTAATTAATACCTCTCAAAAAGTTTCCTTGTGTCACTTGCTTTTTTTTCTGTTTGTGGTAAGAACACTTAATGTGAGATCCATTCTCTTAAAAAATTTTCAAGTGCTAAGTACTGTATTATTGACTATTGGTGTAAGTTGTACAGATCTCTAGAACTTAATCACCCAGCATAATGTAATCACTTACTTTTTAGCTCCTTTTACTAAAGCTATTTCATCTGGTGAGGAGGAGACATAGGTTAATTCAGTTGACTCTGTAGATCCATCAACAGCATCATTTGTTTTTGTTTCCACAGTATGACATAAACACAAGGCCCGCAGAAAGAGCTCTTCTCTGTTCTGTTGGACAGTAACAATGACTATGTTAGTTTCACTTGGATCACATGGTAACTAGTTAGTGAACAGATAAGATATTAAAGTGAAATAATGTTACAAACTCCAGCAAAGTGAGTAGCAGAAAGTTATAAATTCCTAATATTCAAATGAGTTATATATCCTCCTAGTACCTAACAGAGTACCTGGCTCTCAGCTGACATATCCTAGGAGCTGCTCTACTCATTCAAGTTACTGCAGTAGCCACCTAGTACCAAAGCAGTGCCTTTTTCATTGCCTAAAAGGATTTGTTCAGTAACAAATTCACAATCTAGTAATAGCAATAGCCTAGGTGCAGAGAGACTTTGGTTCATTTAATACCCAGACACTCCTGGGACTAGAAAGATTAGAACAGAGATGCTTGGAGCAGTTCATATTTTCAGACAAGCACAAAAAAATTATCACACAGACAAGTGAAAGTTTTACCCAAATGCCATTTTCCACAATTCTCTCTACTTGTAAATTCTACTTGTTTACAAGTTTTAGAGCTTTAAGAAAGTCAAAGGAACAAATTGTTATTCAAAAGACTTTGTCATATGCTACTAGAAAATTCTTTATTTCTACTATGCAGAGTTAACACATGCAGACAAAGGTTGTTATCTGGAGGTAAAATGATAACGCAGAAAATACCACCTTATCTGCTTTGTCAAAATATGTTAAGGGTCCATCAGTTTGAGAGAGTCCATCAGCCTCCTGAGCTACACCTTTGTATTTATGCCCATCAATGCAGCATTCAATGAATTCCATGCTGTTTTCAGTGAGTGTTCCAGTCTTATCTGTAAATACATAATCCACCTAAAAACAAGGACACAAACATGCATTTTCACTTTCTTTGTTGTGATTAAATTTTAGTTAGCTGTAAGGCTAGACTATTTTTATACCTATAGGAAATAATCTTTTCTAAGACTTCTTGTCAAATGTCAAGTAACTACAGAAGCTGTATTATCAAATTAATGAGAAACGAACAAGTATTTTTAAAGACGTGGAAACAGATCACATGTCTAAGGTAGATTAACTCAAACATAAAAGATTATTAAGAAAGAAAAATGTGGCTATTCTAGCAACTTAAGAACCCTTTAACTTAACACCTACTTGTTTTGATGTAAAGGATTTACAATAAGGAAACGTAATTGTCCAGGTGGGAAACAAAAATATATTGACCATGTATTCTCTCTCTCTCTCTCTCTCTCTCTCTCTCACACACACACACACACACACACACAATAATTGATAGGAACTTAAATTTACTGTGAGATGTAACAAAACTTTTCCCTGAAAAGTGAAATATTCTATAAATACACTGGATTGAAGAAAAATATACATCATATAACGCATGTAAAATTACAGCATATTCACAGGGGAAATAAAGTTAACGGCCTTAATTAGGAGACACAATAAATCATAATTCCTTTCCACAGTGTATGTGCTGTTCACATAATGCCTCAAAACAAATTTTCAAATTTAAGAAAGCAGAATGTTAAGGTATAAGCATACTTCCCTAAATAATGGAAAAATAAGTTATAAAATAAACTTCCCATGTAAAATAAACCATTTTGAGCATTTCCGTTTTATCTCAGCTTTTATCTCTTCTATTTATAACATCTGGCTTTTGGAAACCCACAATTTTATCTTCCTTTTGGGCAATTTATGCTTAAATAGTTAAAATTATGGGCTGACAGGAATAAGCATAAGCACAAGATTAAGGTTTTTATTATGTAAGGAAGATGAGATGAATTCCAGCAGTAGTTGCTTTCTAATTATTTTTCAAAGCTTTTCACGGTAGCAGCGCTGGCACAAATATAGCATTCCAATCTTCCCTTTTTTTCCTGTTATCCAGCCAAGTTTGAATTCTCTCTTTAAATCCAAGCAATATTATTCATGTATTGTCTAGATTTTTCCAGCTAAAATGAAATTCTTCAGGGATTTTTTTCTTATCAAAATTATTACCCCTCATCTCCCCGCTATGAGCATTAGCCCATTCAGAAATCTGTTATGAGTGCCAAAGGTGGTAGTTTTAAAAATATGAAGTGCAATTGTCTGTCTATATTCTAGTTACATAGCATGTGATCTGCATACAATTAATCTCACAGGTAGAGGTCAACAAATTAAAGCCTAATACAGTACTTGTCAAACTGGAGGATACAATGCACTTACTTGGAGGGTTTGTTCAAGATCAAGATTGCTGGGCTCTGTCCCAAGTTTCTGATTCAGTAGTTCTGGGGTGGGGCTGTATGATTTGCATTTCTACTAAGTCCCCAGGTGATGATATTACTGCTGGTCCTGGGGTCACACTTGGAGAACCGCTGCTCTAATATATGCCATATACTCAACTCAGGAAAGTGGGAAGACAGGCCTAAAGAGTGTCAGGCTGCTGCTTCACTCTGACTCTCAACAGCCACTTCCTCTTCACTGGTGGGTTTGAGTCTGCCAGAAAAGCCCCTCTCTATCAGGAAGCCCAAATCTATCATTTCAAAGATAAAAAATCTAAAATGAGAAAGCTGTTCTAGAGTAAAAAGAGCTCTGAGTTAAAGGCTGAAAACATAAAATTGTCTATTTTGTAAGCAAAAACTTTCCTATAATTCTAACTAATGGATTACTTGGACTGGAGTCTTGGCTTCACCACCCACTAACTTTGTGACCTTGAAGAAATCTCTTCATCTCTCTGAACTTTAAATATTTAACCTTCAAATACAATATCTGCTGCACATGGCTATAGAAATTATAAAATAAAGCTCAATGATAAAATATGTTCTATGAAATATTACTTAAGTAGATACTGATCATCATTTCCTTTGACCTAACCAAAATTACACATGACTAGACTTTCTATTTCCACATTTCCTGTTTTTCTACTCAATTATTATCAGACTGCTATAGTTAGGTTGGATGTGTATGTTTCTCCTAGTGGATGGTGAACAACTTGAGGGTTTCTTTCTTGCTTCATAATAGTAACCTTAGCACCACTCTACATACACAACAGAAGTTCAATAAATAGCCACTGGACTGAATGATTGGAATCAGGGACTATACTCAGATTATAAAAACCACAGCATCAGTGATGGCTGTAAGACTGGGAGGGGATATGAAGCAGGAGACTTTAGTCTTGTCCCCACAAATTTTTCAAGATGGGACAAAACAAGTTGGCTGTATAAAAGACTAATTTTCGATCATAAAACATCCCATTGTTTTCCAACTGAACTGAGCAGCGTATTTCTTTTCTCAAGTCAAACACTGTCCTCAAAATGACCAGTATAGGCCATTTAAAGAGGTTTGGAAGTATTTGCAGTGGCACTGATGGGGACTAATTGACAGAATTTAGAAACATGAAAAGTCTATTGATCTTAAATTGTGACACATCAAAGAGAAATCTGGTCACATTTAATTTTGTGTATACCAGTCCACTGGATGCCAAATGGCCTAAGATACCATTTCAAGACTTCTTTGCATTTTCATTCAGGTAGTTTCTCCACATAAGCAGATAATGATGCAAGTTGGTTTTATAATGTATTAACTGAAGCAGTGGTTTGACTATTAACTAAGTGATTTGATTAAATGACAAGCATACCCAGAAAAGGAGGGTTTGGTAGGGGAAGGGGGAAATGGCTGATGTGAAAACTGTAGCTTCCTTTCACTGATCAAATTTACTAGATCATTACCCAAAGCTCTACTTTATTTTCTGCAGTGTGAATATAGTCTAGATAATAGGAACAAAATTACATTCTCAATGTAATATGGGTTCTGCTGAGGTGGAGATCTGACATAAAGTGGAATCTGGCCTGGAAATCCCATCTATCTCTGGTGGCATTAGGTATCACAGGAATGATGGCTGTTCTATTTGCATCAATTGGAATTAGCCACATTCATCCTTAGGTAGTTTACTCCATATAGCCAGGCACTGGATCTAGAACAGGCAACTTTCTTCAACTGTATCATCTGTCAGGGAAAAGTCTGCAGCCTTTTATCAAGACTACTAGAGTAGATCTACGAAGCCAGCTCTGTCCATAGATGAGAAGTTCTGGTTTAAAAAGGCTAATGTCAGCTGCGGTGGCTGAAGTGACTCACAAAAGAATCTTCTGGGTACAATAAATGAAAAGCTTTTGCTCATTTACTTCTTCTATGCTTAGTGACTTAGTGTCTCTAGGACACTGGAGTCTTGAAGTCAGGTCTACACACGGTATCTGGAGAGTCCTTTCACCCCTATGACTGTAGTTGTCAAGACGGTACTTTGGTTTAGGCAAAGGTTATATGAAGAGCAGAAATGGAATGGGGATGGAAATTCAAGAAGAGAGTTTTGAGATGTATAATCAAAGTGGCACCATTGACATGTATAAGTAAAGTGAGAAGGCCCATTAGAACCACACAGTTTCAATAAATGAATTTGCATCTTCCAGTCACAGAAATGACATTTCCACTGCCTTGACATTCTAAATACCATGAGAATTAAATGTATGCCAAAAAAATTCCCTTGGCTTTTGAATATCATTACATGACACAAAGTAAATTCAGACAAAGGGAAAAAATTTCTCAGTCCTGACAAGAAAAACACCTAAGCAGCCATAATGTGAAGAATTGCAGCTAGACTGCACTGGAAAATAAATGCACCTGGGTTAGAAATGAGGTCACAGCCTGGTATAATGAAGCAAAAAGCATTTTGAGGAATGTGTGCCCTCACATTTCCCCTTCATTTAAATTCTTACACTGGAATAAATAACTCTGTTTGCTAGGCCTGTATGCCACTGGTTCAGAAATGTACCAAGAAAATGTCAACAGGACAGCTCTGGTCGATTTTGTTTATAGGGAAAAAAATGAACTTATAAAATAGCTATATTTACTAACCTGTATATGGTTATAGATGGTGATGAAGACTACATAATTCCTATTCCAAAGCAGTAACCCATAATCTAACATCAAATTAGTTTTAAATAGAATTTCTGTAACATTTAAATTTAATACATAAATTAGGAGGTTATTTTTAAAATACCAGCAAAATAATTGAAAATGCTTGCCTTCATCACATGCCCACATAAAGAGATTTTATTTGAATACATTTCAAACTGTGAAATTGTCACATATATTGGTAATCAGAGTATATAAAAATATATTTTTACTATGTTAACTTATTTTAATTAAAAATATATTCTAAAAAATGTATTCTAACCTGACCAAGTTCTTCATTAAGGTCTGATGTGTTAACCAGGGCTCCTTCATTAATTTCTTCATCATAAAAGTCTTTATCCCATGAAATGAAGAAGGAGCCCAAGAATTTCTGCATCTCTACTGTGACATACATGGAGACAGGAATGATAAAGTTGAATAGAACCATAAATGACAGGAAATCGGTGAACATTTTCAAAACCTAAAACAAAAGAAATAGTTCATGCTAATTAGATGCACAGTTCTATCAGAGAGGTGTAATATGAATTGTTCATTTTCTTTTTATTTAAATGCTGAAAGCACTGCTTTTCCTACAAAGAAGAAACTTTCCATCAACACTATCACTAGTCAAATTATCACAATGTTAAGACAATATTTAAAACATTTTCAATTTCATCATTATTCTTCAGTGTACAAACCTTTGATTTAACACTTTTTCACTTTCTTAACTTGTCTGCTCTCCACCAACCCCAGATACAAATGTGTGAACAGAGCATATATGTAGACATCCATCATGCTGCTATCATGCTATTTATCAGAAGCTTATATTAATATGCCACAACTTGTCTAGTAGATTAAAACTTTCAACTAAAGAGCTAAAAACAAGCATAGATGCATAAAGTAAAAGAAAAAACACCCTAAAACTTCTTAAATGTTTAATGGCTAACATACAACCGAAAGAAAATGCAGAAGCTAACAAAAGTTGACATTATTTGAGGAGCATTTTTTAAAAGGATAGCTTGGCCACAAAATGCTAGTGTTAGAATTTTCAGATAAAATGAACATTTTTAGCAAAAAACCATTACCTTCAAAGTCTCCCGCTCTTTCTTGGTCTTTTGGTTATACCAAGGTTCATCATTATATGGAGTGCTTTGCCAAACATATTTTAGAGTTGTGCACACTGCAGCTTTGGTCAGTAAGATAAATAAATACACAATCAGGAAGGCATTAATGGATCTGAAAAATAACATATTATGGGTTTGAAAACCATCTAATTACTTAAGACATCAATCAAATATAAATTAAATTGTTCAGTTTTCTAATGCTTCTCATGAGTACAATATGGAACCACCACACAAGCCTGTATATATGACCCTCTGTTACCCTGCTGAAGCGCTCCTTGTAAGTGGTAAAATGGAAAGGCAGCCCTGACCTGTTTGTGGGTTACCAATGCTCACCAAAACTGACTAGCTTAACATACCTTTTAGTATGGTTCCCATAAAGTGACAGAACTCTCCCCCACTGCCAATATCAACTTAACCCTTACAGAAAGAATAGCTTGCCTCCATTTCTCTGCATCTTTTTTTTTTTTCATTTCCCTGAATCTTAAAGGATTAGGATAGAAAGTAGGATAGCAAATGTGAAGAAATTCTCAAGCTTATGGTGGATTCTTTTAGTCTAAAAATGGAACTGTGGAGAGGCTGCACTGATATTCTGAATATCCATGCCAATGACAGAAAGGTCTGTGCCAGAAGCAACTGGCTTGAGGGTCTACCAGGAACTACAGTATTTCAGACTATTATGTTATTTATAGTTATAGTATTTCAGACTATTATGTATGTTGTAGAAACTCCTTGCATATAGTGACCAGAGCACCCAAACCATTATCTAGCGGCAAAATGGAACACTACCACAGTCCAACTGAACTCTGTTTTAGTAGATACATGAGTTTAGGTATGTTATTTATCATCTCTGAGATCATCTTCTCATCTGTAAAGTACAGAGGCTAAAGATTTACTCCACAGAGTTGCTCAAAGGAGTAAACCAAATCAGATATTCAAATCATTGAGCACAGTTTCTGGAACATAAAAAGTGCTCAAAATGGTAGCCACTATCATAATGGATGGTTTTTTGGTTATGGTTGTCACTATTTGGAATTATTGAGAAGTCACTATTTCAGGTCAATAACAACAAAAGAAATTGTAGTGCATACTAACTTTTCAACAGCAGAACGTTTCTGAGATTTCCCTTGGTAGTTCAAAGCCATTTTGGTTTCCATCCCAGTGTAAACAGCAACTCCTAAAGAGTAACAGATTAAAATGAAAACAGGTTGCAACAGATATGGTCAACTAACTCCCCACCCAGTTGCTTCTTCTAATTTTTTTAGACTATGAAAGTAGAAATTCTAACCATTTTTCTATTCATTAGTTGCTATATCATTCATAGTATACTTTAATTCTACATCCTTTCATTAGTTTACCATCCTATAAATTCCAAACACCTAAAAAGAGGCTTAAATGGCAATTATCTGCCATGTCTAATTTTTCACATGCACTGGTTATGCACAGGCTTTACAAAGCATATTTCTGATAAACATATCTTAAAAACTCTTCACCATATATCCTCTTGGTATTTTTTAGAGTAGCTCCTTTCAGCAAGAGATTTTCAGGTCCCAAAGACCTAAATAAAAAAATGAACAGAGCTTATATAAGCAATGGCATCATCAACTTTGGGGACATTATTTTGCCCCACCACACATCTATCTCCAAGGGGTTCAGGATGTATCTGTCTACTTATATCATATGCTTACTCCCCAGGATGAGTTGAAAGATCTTTCCCTCTGAAGTTACCTTAAGGTACAGCACAGATGGAAGCACAGTACAGGAGTAGCCAGCAACACACAGAGGTAAAGAGATGCACAAAGACATAAAAGGATTATGAGTCATAGACAGCAAGACAAGAACAGGACAGAGCAGCAGACAGAAAAAAAAAAAAAAAAAAAAAAACCAGAAAGAGAAGGAGAAAAAACTGGGAAAGCAAACTGTCAAGGTGGAAAAGTCAAACTGACATAATATTCTAGAGAGCAAACCCGCCTGCTGGGGGAGTTCATAGGCACCCAAGGTTTCTTTAATTGCCTTTGAGTACAACTCTGAAGGCCAAGTGGAAAAGTTGAGGTAATTAATTGGATGATAGAAGCAGGAAGAAAACATCTATTTTTGAATGACTTACTTCATTAGAAATCATTAGCCTATCATTTTACTTTAGTCCAGGTGATTCTCCCAGCATTTTATCCACTGCCTAGTCCCTCAATTATTCTCCCCTAAATGTTCTCCTGCAGGTATACATGACGACAAGTATAGTGTCTAAAACAGATTTGGGAATACCAGTCAGGGTGTCTGGAGTGCCGCTATTTTGGAAAGCCTCAACATCACTTCCAACACCCTGTCTTGCCTGCTCCCAGGAAACATAGTCAAAGACCCTGCACCACAACCCTACCAATCACAAAGTTAGTTACTTAAGACCCATTAGTGGGATGCTGGTTAGTCATTCCAGGTTTAGTGACCTTTATATCTCTTTCTATAAAGAAAATTATTTGGCTATTTTAGTTGGCTCCTGTCCCCAAGGACAGATTAAAGAAATAACTAACCTGGCAACAGGCTCAAGACCATTACTGTAGATATTGATTCGCCCAACAAACCTGCAAGAAGAACATAATAGCAAATATGTTTGACAGGTCCAGGTGAAAATCTATATACCACAGATAAGAGAATGAATCAAAATACAAATAATACAACATAGATAAAACTGAATGAACAATAGAAGCCTATTATATTTCTGGAAAAAAAAGTTGCATTGATTATATTACAGTTGGTTACATATGTGGTAGACGGTAAGATGTGTAACATTTTCACGTAATTTTAAAAATACTGTGGATTATTAAGAATGTAAACAAAGATTCTAAATTGATCTTCAAGTTCTAGTTGGCACTGTGCATGCACACACCACCACTCTCTTTTATACCGAATATAAACAATTGGCTTCTATTTTAGATTCATGTGAAGGAAGGTTATCTGGTGCTAAAACACAACTTTCAAAAATGTCAGTTCAGTAGTTCTTTCACTTGAACATGCATCAGGGTCATCAGAGATTTCTGGGGCCCATATCCAGCTTATGATTCAGGTGAGAATTTGCACTTCCACCCAGTTCCCAGGTGATGCTCATGCAGCTGGCCTGGGATCACCCTTTGAGAACCACAGTGTTAGCTTAGACAGTGAATACCTGATCACCATCTTGGAAATTTCTAGCCTGTGTTTTGCAGCTGATCTCCATACTGAGCTTGATCTGATCACATGGTTAGGCACACGGTAATCTACATTTCGGAGCACTGGGGTAAAGGCCCACTCCCTTCTTAACAAGAGTGTTATGATTGTTTTATAATTAGCATTATGCATTTTTCCAGAAAAGTGGAACTATTTTATATGACTATATACACAAAACATGAAGGTCTGTGCACTCAGTCATCATTTAGCAGTGCACCAGTGCTGTGCTAGGTGCTCCTTACCCTAAGACAGAGAGTAAAGAGGCAATTACAACACAAGTTTCATTACCACTGAGGGGGTGAAAGTACAAGATATTCTGAAGTCACATAGCAAGAGAACTCAATCTAAACTAGACAAATTGGGCACAACCTTCCTTGTCCATTCTCCTTCATATTTAAGGTAACTGAAAAATTTAGGAGTTGTCCTAAAGATACACAAGTATTCTCTAACTCAGGCAGAGTCAGTCACTCCCTGTTATGTGCTTCTATGGATCTTGCACTCACTCACCTGTATTATCTCACTAGATTGTAAGTCTAGCTTTACTTTCTACCGCCTTTGCTCATGGTGAAAATGAAGCATGGCTGTTGTGGTTGTGGTCCTACTTAGTTCCTACTGGCAAAGTGGATAAAGGAGGGAAAGTGGAAAGAAGGAACAACAGGAAGCAGGGAGAACATTGTTCTTGAAGTAGAATAAACATTTTATCTACTAAAGGGCACTGGTATAAGCTACATTTTAACCATTTGGTTCACCATTATCACCACAGCATTCGCTAATAAGATGGCTGGTAGAGGTAGTAGATGCCATCTGTAGTGGTGGAACAGAATGAAATTAATTGTTCCACTTGGGGATAGAAACCTGTCACTCTAACCTCATTAATACCAAGCTCTAATCAACCAAACTAACCAGTCTTAAAAATCAGATGCCAAATTTTTGACAAGCAGAACTACTGCAGAAAGCCTTAGTGATATATAATTATTATACCATTGTACTGCTCCCTCAACTTAACTATTTGTTGTGGATAAGAAACAGTCTATTTGCAATCCTCAGTTCATTATGAGCATCACACACAGGAGAGCAAGCCTACTAACTGCATAGCCCCTATACCTTTCTCTCTTTAATATTAGATGACAATATGAAAGGGTTTATTTTTGTTTTAATTAACTTTAGTTAATGCATCAGCTTGATAGATGAGCCTTATATAGGATAACATAATCTTAAAATGTGATGGATGGACATGTTTACAAATAACAAAAATAAAAGAAAAATCACAAGTAAGATGATTGGGCCCATAATGATTTATCTTAGGCCGGTAGTGAACAAGGCCGATTTGATTCATTTCCCTGCCAGAAGGAAGGAACAGCTCATAAAAACACAAATGAAATGAGGCTGGTAAGTGGTAGATGTTTCTTTGCAATACTGGAAGCAAACAGAAGCAGAGCCAACAGACAGCAATAAAATGAAACCAGGTGATACTTACTTGTAGAGGTCAGGTTGAGGCTGTTCACATTCGATTGCAGCTCGGAGGCTATCAATGGATTCGGCTGAACACAGTGTAATGGTATCACGTACTGCGTAGTGTGTCTACATGAAAGCAGCAGCAGAAACAAAACAAAACAAGTTTCTTTTCATACTCAAACACCCACCTGATTCAAGGAACATAGTTTGAGAAAGAGACTTTGCCAAAATCATACAAATATTGATGCCTACTTCCCAGTGCATAAGTTCTATGGTATTATTCTTATATAATATATTACAAATAATTAGAAAGATAATCCTCTGTTGCAAGAGGATTTCAAAGATAATGAAAAAACTGAAAGCTTTTCTTGATAATGACAGCACAGAGAATTCCATTTGTAGCATGCATATAATTAACTGAAAACCCCATGAAGAATTAAATGCATTTATTTTTTCCTCCTATTTATAGAACTGCGACCTTTTAATTTGCTCACCAGTATATGGGGATGTAAATATGCACATATAAATTGAATATAACCTTTTGGTCATAAGAACACTAACATTTTGCCAAGAGCATGAAAAAAAATATCAATAGTTTCATTACACAAATAACATAATTAATGATCTTGAAAATGTTCAAAGTGGCTACATTTCATAGAGGGAGAAGAGAAATGATATGTCTTGGCTTAGTCAGACAGTAGAATATTCTACCAGTGTACATTATGTACTTCATTCACCCAGAACTCAAGGCAGACTCCAATGAACCCATTTATAAATCATCAAAAAAGGGCTCATGTGTACTCAAAAACGCACCACTAACGCAGGAGGGAAAGCTGGCGGTCTGCAGGGAACATTGTGGAAATGCCTGAGTTATCTTTAAAACTGTCCCCTGACTTTCAAAACTTCTGTGCTTTCAGCTGACTTGAACAGATCAACTTAACTGAAAAAAGAAACACTTTCAAGTTTTCATCCTCTAAACAACTTTTTCCCCTATTAGGGAATCATTAGGTAAATTTCTCAATTTTTATCTTGACATTTCCTCAAATAAGACTTTGTTTTTGAACTGTTTCAACTGGACTAGTTTATCATCATGCCCTTGAAGTACAGAATTAGTTACCAAGCAGACATTTAGCTTCCTTCTTTACATACTGAGTCCTGTGTCCTCAACCCCAGATGGAATAAACAAGCAAAGTCCTCCAAGGATCCACAGAGGTGAGCACATTAGTACTCTTCCTCAAAGGTGGCCAAGAGAGGATACATCTTCATGCCCTGTGGAGCTCTGGACAATGGCCAAGAACTGACTGTGCCAGGAGGAACTGGGGAAGTAAGTTATCCTTCAGTTTGAACAAACTTACTTTAACATATTTATAATTTCCTCCTAGTTGTAGTAAAGCAAACATTTGCCAAACTACAGCCTAAGGTTTTATTTAAAAAGTAATAATTTTATCCCAGGTTATATTTTCTAATATGCCAGAAACAAACATTTAAAAAAAATTAAAAAATAAAAATAGATCAAACTGCAAGGTTAGAGTACATGAAGCTATTTTTAGTGTTACAGCTTCAGCCTACGACTGCTCTCATTTATAAAAGCCTAAATAAAATATTGAATGGTTATGTCAACATTAAATGCAAGCAGTGCTATAACAAATGTGGTTGCTCTTATTTGGGGTGTGGTTTTCCCTTACCCAACCCCACCCTTTCCCCCAAAGTTGAGTATTTGCTCAGAAGTTCAAAGACAATTATATAAAAGTTGTTTTCAAATACAAAATTTACACAAATAGGGAAAAATAAGAAAAAAAAATATTAGGGAGTAGTGGGAACAAGTATTGTATGAATACTCAAAATGTTTGCACAAGGTTTAGTTTCCATTACCTTGCAATTAGATTCTCCATCAAGACTGGCTGTAGTGACATAGCAGGTTCCATCCTCAGTACAGGATGATAGAAGAATAAGATCACAGGGAAAGGTTTCATCTGCATGTACCTCCACTACATCACCAACCTAGAATGGTGAGAGAGATAATTGGAAATACTCTTCATTCCAAACAAAGTATACCTCAAACTGAAGTCAAAATAGTAACAAAGGGCCTCCCCGGTGGCACAGTGGTTGAGCGCTGGGTTGCAAAGCTGCCCGCAGCCTCTGCAGCACCGGTTCGATCCCCGGCTGCTCCCCGGCCACCAGAGGAGGGTCCCACATGGCGCGCAGACCTCTCCTGCCGCCCGCTGCTCCCCTCAGCGGTGTGCTTCGGTCCTTCTGCCTGCTCTGCTTCCCGCTCTGGTGAATTCTCCTACCCTCCCGCGCTTCTGACTGTACCCAGTGCTTGTATGTATGTATGTATAAATCAATAAAAATCAATCAATCAATCAATAAATAAATCTTTAAAAAAAAAAAAAATAGTAACAAAGAAGTCTCCTACTCTGGGGCTTAGAGAGTGTCTCAGCATCTTACACCACGTGAAAGCTGATGAAAGAAGTATTACTCAACAGTTGAAATCTTCTTTAAGGTCACAGAGAGTTATGATGCTTCAGATTACCTTAGTACTGCACTTAAACAATTTCAGCATTCCAGAACCTGTTTGTTCTCTGACATTTCTGGCATTGTTTGATAAGACAATGACCATTGTCATCTTCATGAATGAATCAAGAAAATCTACATGTCTCAACCTGAGCACTTCACAAACACTGGGCAGCCAGACTCCTACTCTGTATTCCACATATTTCAACATGGTTTGCCTTCCATGTGGTAATAGCTATTATTGCTGAGCGCCAGTTCCTTCTTCAGTGCTCAGAAAACCTAAGTTAATTCAAGGTATCTATTCTTTCCTGTAACATTGAAAAAAATTTTTTCAGATAGATCACGTTGCAACAATTCATCTGCTATCAGAAGAACCAATTAATACAGCAATGAGAAACAATCAGCAATAACCTTAAGGTCAAGTAGAGGAAAAACATTAGCAAAGAACTCATGAACCATATTCAACACTGGTTGAAAGGTAGAAGTTTGAAACCTGAGTTTATGTCCCAACTATGTCACTTAACTTTATCACCTTGAGTATATGCCTAGATGATTGCAAGTACTACAGGACTGATATACTGGTGAAGTGTTTGGTAAAGTACCTGGCACATATATTCACCATTGGACAAGTATTAATTATAATTATTGCTAATATCCTGCAACTACTTTACTCCCAACTTATGAATACTCATGACATCTTTTCTGGGAACAGTTTAAGAAATCAGCCAGTCTAGTGCTTCCTAACAGTTTCCACATTGTGGCACATACAGAAAAGGATAAGTGACACTTTTGTATAGCAACCTTAGATGGAGGCAGGAGCCTGCTAGCGGCAGTACATAAGCCACAGTAGGAGGGAGTCAATATCTGGCACTCCAATCTGGACACATTGGTTGTGAAACATTAAATGAACAAATGACATTTCTGCCTTCTACTTGCAACATGATTTGGCAGATAAAGGTGAGGACTTCAAGACCTATTTAGGAACAATATTATTTTCTTTACGAATCTTCACCAGTAGCCAAGAGCAACAGCATCAATAATTGAAGTAATTTGTAAATAATGTTTAATTTTGTTGGCTATTTCCTTCCTCACTTGCATAAACACGTTGCTTATATAAAACCACAAGGTATACTTAAGTATATAGAAGCACTTTCAAAGTCTGCTCTCTGAATCTTACAATGTATTTCAGGCCCACCTCAGGTGAGAAAGCTGCTTTCATTGCACTTCTCTAAACTTTAAAAATACTTATTTTCTGAAATAGGTTAAAAGCCGTTTTCTCAGAATATCTTTCTTTTATTCTTTTTCCTTTACTCCATTCTCTGCATCCCATATGCTGAACTAGGGTAGATAGGATCTGAAGTACCTCAGCCAGTCACATTGTAGCAATTCAGCATTATTCAGCATTATTCAGCATGAGAACCAAAGGCAGCCTATAAAGTGCATAACATTAAATCTGTTGCTCTGGGGGCACTACATGAAACAAGGAAAGTAAAAGTCTCCCACACCTTTTCCCTTTCCTTTCATGTCCTCTTTCTGACATTGTAGTCACCCTTCAAAACTCCCTAAGCCCCATATAAAAAGACCTCCATCTTCCAAATTTCCTTCACCAGGCTTCTTTGCCTTGAGGTTGATCTCAACCAGGTATAATCCTAATCAAATCAGTCCATGTTCTTATGTGGAGTGTCAATTAATTGAGTTCTTTCTGGATTATTTGTGTGTGGGAAGAGATATTTACAAAACAAAAATGGCTAAGCATTTGATTGCTCGGCTGTGGGGTGGGGACTGCATGTTCACTGCAATGGTAATTCCATTAAATGTTTTGAAGCAAAGGAACGACTTTATTTTATTTAAAAAAATAAAGAAACTCTGCAGAACAGGGAAAGTAGAGGCATGGGGAAAATGGAATAATGGCTAAGACAAGTGGTTACTGATATAGTCTAAGCAAAAAATTATAAGCACTCAGGTGAAAGTAGAAGAGATGAAAATAATAGTTAATGTGTAAATATTACATAACTACATGAAGCACTCAATTTTACATATTAACTCATTCAATTCTCACTTCACAATAATCCTACGAAATACAGACTTTTATTTCCTCTTCTTTACAAGTGATGTAACTGAGGCAAAGGGAAGTTAGGAAAACTGTCTACGACTAGCAGAAAGAGGAAAAGTTGGACTTTGAATCAAAGTAAGTCTGGGTATGAAACCAATGCTTCTTGCCATGACTGAAACAGGTGACTTGTTATTAAGAGAGTCAGTAGAGTTTCTGTACTATAGATATAGGTGTTAAGATAAGCAAAAAAAAAAAAGATAAAGACTATATCATCCTTTGCTTAGACTGTATCATCCTTGGTTGGGCCTGAGCAGCTGGGTGAGTAACAGCGCTACTGAAGAAAACGCTATTAAATAAGACAGAGGAGATGAGAAGAACAGGCTTAGAGGCAGGCGGGAAGAAGGAGAAATCAGGAATCCGGTTGGGCCGTGTCAACTGGGAGACGCTTACTCATGTCCAGAGAGAACTGTCAGGCCGGAGTCTCAAGGAGATGTTCTGGATGAAAAGAGCAATTTGGATTCATTAGCATTTGGATGGCGAATGAAGCCATGAGACAGGACAGAATCACAGGTCTATGGAGAAGAGAGCTGAGAAATAGGACTTAAGGAGTTCCAGTGATAAAAAGTTACTTGTAAAGGAAGGAGTAGGAGTTTTGGCATTAGAAAGACGAGGAGCTAGACAGAGTAAGATACTCATAGGGATTATCAGGCTTTAGTGCCAAATGGAAATATACAAAGGTTGTGCTCTGGTTCTTCCATCGACGCATCAACCTAAATGTACTGAGATGGTTCACACTTCTCATGGAGTTTAACATACACTGCCAAATAATTTTGGATAAGGTTGCCAATATTACACAATGGGGAAAGGACAGTCTCTTCACAAATGATACTGGGGAAACACACCAAAAACAAACAAACAAACAAACAAATTGAAGTTGGACCTTATAATATAAAAAATAACTCAAATTGGATTAAAAACCTAAATCTATCAGACTCCTTGAAGAAAACATGGGGGGGGGAAGCCTCAGGACATTGGATTTAGCAATGATTTTTTAGATATGACATCAAAAACACAGACAGTAAAATCAAAATTAGACAAATGAGAATATGTCTAACTTAAAAACTGTACATCAATCAATAGAGTGAAAAAACAACCTACAGAATGGGAGAAAATATTTTCAAATCATGTATCTCATAAAGGGTTAAAATCCAGGATATATAAGGAAATTCCTCAACACCATCAAAAACAAAAAAACAATTTGAAAATGTGCAAAGAGCCTGGGAAGATATTTCTCCAAAAAGAATTTACAAATGGCCAATATGTACATTAAAAGTTGCTCAACATCACTAACCATTAAGGAAATGTAAATCAAAATCACAATGAAATATCACTTCACAGCCATCAGGATGGCCACTATCAAAATAACAGAAAATACCAAGTGCTGGAGAGGAGGCAGGGAAATTAGAAGCCTTGTACATTGTTAGTGCAAAGGTAAAATGATGTAACCACTATGGAAAACAATATGAAGGTTCTTCAAAAAATTAAAAATAGAATTACCTATCCAGAAATCCTATTTCTGGGTTACAACAAAAATAATTCAACCCAGAAATTTCAACTCTGGGTTATCTCTAAAATAAATCAAAAACAGAATCTTAAAAAGATACTTGTCCTCATTGCAGTATTATTTACAATAGCCAAGAGGAGGAAACAACCCAGATGTCTACCAACTGATAAATAAAGTGGCATATACACACATTGGATTATCTAGCCCTAAAAAGATGGAAATCCTGCCACATGCTACATTGAAGACATTATGTTAAGTGAAATAAGTCAGTCAAAAAAGAATAAACACTGTATGATCCCATTCATATTAAGTATTTATCTAAAGTAGTTAAAGTCACAGACATAGAAAGAAGAAGGGTGTTTATCAAGAGCTAGGGGGAGTAAGAATTGGTGTTTAGTGGGTAAGAGTGACTACCACAAGATGAAAAAGTTTTAGAGGTCTGTTGAACAATATGAACATACTTAACACTACTGAAAAATAATTAAGATGGTAAATTCACTGTTAAGTGCTTTTATCACAATAAAAAGTGAAAAAAAACTTTAGATTGGGATATTTGTGAAAGGTACATGTAATAAAGAACTGTTAGGCAAAACATATGAAAAACTCTTAAAAGTTAATTATGAAAGTGGACATTAGAGACACCTCACTAAAGAACATACTCACTTGGAAAGTATACATATGAAACAAAATCTGTTATTAGGGAACTGCAAATTAAAACAAGGAGATATCACCGCACACCTATTACAATGGACAAAATCCAAAACACTGACAGCACCAAATGCTGGAGAGTATATTGGGTAATAGGAACTCTTATTTATTGCTGATGGGAATGCAAGACGGAAAATGCACTTTGGAAGACAGATTGAGTTTCTCATAAAAACTAAATAAACCCTGACCATAAGATTCAGTAATCACACATCTTGGCATTTTACCCAAATGAACTGATCACACAAAAACCTACACATGAGTCCTTAGAGCATTTTATTCATAATTGTCAAAACTTGGAAGCAACCAAAATGTTCTTCAGCAGATAAATAGAAAAATAAACTGGTATGTCCAGACAATGGAATATTATTCAGCATTAAAAAGAAATGAGCTATCAAGCCACGAAAAGACATGGGGGAAACTTAAATGCTTATTATTTAATGACAGAAGCCAATCTGAAAAGTTAAATATGGTCTGATTTTAACTTTCTAGAAAAGGCAAAACTATGGAGACACTAAAAAGATTAGTGGTTGCCTGAGATTGGAGGCAGAGCACAGAATATGTTTAGGGCAGTGAAAGGAGTGAAAGGATTCTTCATGATACTATAATGATGGATACATGCCATACATTTTCTAAAGCCCATAGAATTTATAGTAAGACTGAACTTTAATGTACATGATTACCTTTGGGTAATAATGCTGTGTCAATATAATCATCCACTGTATTAAAGAAACCACTCTCATGAGGGATAACAATACTGGCACCTTACACGCACACGCACGCACGCGCGCACACACACACACAGAAGTTTTATCTCCAAAGTTAAAAATTATGTAGACAGGGGTATTTGGGATCTCTGTGTACTTGTGCTCAATTTTGCTGTGAACCTAAAACCACTCTAGAATATAAAGTTTAATAATAACTAAAATAAAATCTGTTGGAAACAAAAAATTTGATGTGGAGAATTCTAAAACTTTATTGAGAGGAGTCTTATTGGGGAATAAGCAAAGATCAATGTGAATAAAAATTAAAAACAATACCTTGGAATTGTCATATATTGCTGGTGGAACGTAAAATGGTGCAGCTATAGGGGAAAACAGTTTGGTGGCTCATGAAAAAATTTAACACAGAATTACTACATTACCTAGTAATATAGTATAGTATATACTAGGTATATAGCAGGTCCTTGAATAAAGTTCAGTCATTTAGTTCAAGGTCAGCAAGAATTCTTTTTATCTCACCGTTGTAATAAAATGACATTAAACAGGACGTTATTCAAGGACCTGGTTTCATCATACAGTATGTTATTTCACTTAAAGTCACAGTTTATAAGAGCCTATCAACAATGTTAAGTATTTACTGTACATCCAAAAGAAATGACAACAGATATTCAAACAAAAATTTTACATGAATGTTGATAGCAGCATACTTGTAACAACCAGAAGGTAGAAAAACCTAAATGTCCATCAACTAATAAATGGATTAAAAATGTGTATGCAGGGCCTCCCTGGTGGCACAAGGGGTTAAGACACAACCTGTGAAGCTGTCCACAGCCTCTGCAGCACGAGTTCGATCCCCGGCCAGGGAGATGCCCACATGGCGCAGCAGACCTCTCCTATTTCGCCCGCTGCTCCCCTCAGCAGTGTACTTCGGTCAATCTACCTGTTCTGTTCCCCACTCTGTCTCTGGTGAATCCACTCAACCCCCGCACCTCTGACCTGTATCTCAGCTCTTGTATGCATAAATAAATAAATCTTTTAAAAAACTGTGTATGCATACAACAGAATATTATTCACAGAAAAAGAAATGAAATATTGACATATGCTACATTATGAATGAACCTTGAGAACATTATGTTCAGAGCAGCCAGAGACAAAAGATAACATAGTACAATGATCCCATTTATATGAACTATGTAAAATAGGTAAATTTATAGAACCAAAAAGCTTAGTGGTTTCCAGGGCCTGGGGCAGCGAGCTGTGTGGGTAGGAATTCGGCCCAACTGCTTAATGGCTATTGAGATTTCCTTTTGGATTTATGAAAATTGTCTGGAACCACACAATGTTGATAGTTGTACAATACTGTGCATATACTAAAGGCTACTGAATTATATATTTTAAGATGATATGTTTTTACCACAATGAAAAAAAGAATGAACTCCAAATATTGATACCTTGATTTTTTCACTATCTTTTTTCACTCGCTCTGCATTTTCAATAATGTAAACAGTGCTCTTGTTAACTTCATTGTCAGCTCTGTGTCTCAGCCAATCCTCATATCCCTAGAAGGATAAAAATAACTATAAAAATAAGCTAACAAAGTAATAAAGTTGGTAATAAATTTTTATAGCCCTCTTCATGAGTCACCAGTTGATATTTATACTTATGGTAGGAATTTCAATTCAGAATGCTAGAGATAATGCTGTATGCTTTCATAGCAAAAACCAAAACATGCTTTTAAAATACCTCTTAGGTAAATATGTCATGTTAAAGGGTTTCACCATTTCACTGTTAATGAAAACAGAAGAATTAGAGCTTCAATGTTCTCCATCTGTGCAGGATTATGATTTATTATTCTAATTCTACTCTTATTCAAATTAATGTTGATTTTTTCTACTATTAAATTTTCTATTTTTTTTAAAATTTTCTATATTTTTAAAAAAAGTTTTCTAGGCTTTATTTTCCTACAGACCTACTCACTTAAATATATTGTTGTAGAGCGCTGGCATAAACATCTCTTAAGAAATATAATATAATTCCACCCAGGAACAGAAACTAGTAGAGGCAAGTAACAATTATTTTAGTAGAGAATCTATGGTAAATTTTAGAAATCAACAGTTACACTTCTTTGCTGAATGGATGATAAAACATAAATCAGTATTCAATTTTCACAATTTAAAATAATCACAATAATCACCTTATGGTTCATTTTTTCTTTGGGCTTTTTGTCTGGAGTAGATTTTAAGCCAAAAGAACTAAGGAAGAAGGATGTTCATTTGTTTGAACATGACCTTTTTTTTTTTAAACATTGTATGTGCCTTTTCAAATATAACTGCTGAAAACTCTTGATCGCTTCCCCTTTTTTCCTTAGGTACTATATTCATTCCTATTCTGTCCCTCTTTGTGACAAAGCTAGGCTATCATTTCATAAGGCACTTTCTGTGATGTCAGTGAGGAAAGAATGGACCTAACAGGAGCTAGTATTGGGAGTAAAATGAATTAGTAAAGCTTTTGGAAACCACAGAGGCTATTCTTAGAGCAGTAATTCTATGATACTAAAGAAAACAATCCTAACACCCTAAGGGGAAGAACATTCCAAAAGTCTTTATTTAGCAATGAAACATTTGATAAAATATTCTTGCAGTTCCTGGTAGGAAAGATAGAAGACCAGATAACCCCAAGAGGAAAGGCATCCTTGCGCACAGTGCTGTTAAGCAGATCTTCATTTTGGGAAGATCTTTTTAACTTTGGGAAGCTTTTTAAAGTGCTTTGATAACTCTGAGTATGTCTGAAATTAGCCAGCACCTGTTGACTGTCCCAGTACATGACACACATTGCTAAACCACCCTTTTACCTCTAGTTTCCTATTTTCAATTTTACCTGGAATTCTTCAAAGGTACTATCACATGAAAGTACTCAAAATACTTTGAAGACATCAACATTACAAACTGGCAGTTTGCCGGTTTTCCCAAGAGACAAGTTTCCTCTACCCACAACCCTCTTTAACAGCATAAGGAAAGACAACCAAATTAAAGTATTTATGCTCTTGACTTCTCTGCTATAGTCAACAACAAAAACTAGCACTGGAATTTTTCAGTTATGCTACACTGAAGAAATGAATGCACACTTAAAAACTCACCTCCCATTTCTCAACTGAGCTGTACCTTCTACCCAAATTTTTCTTTCATGCTTACATTTCCACATAAAAATATTAATGAGGAAAGGATCAGAGAAATTAAAGCTGTATCTAACAATTATTTAAATAGGTTTGCAACAGAATTAAATATAAATTAATTCATCAAGGATTCTGCTGACTCTATAAATATGAAAAAGATCCTATAACAATGAAATTCAAACCAGACAGGACTGAAATGCAGGCATAACAGTAAGGAAGACATTTACCTGCTTGATGGCTGTGACAGTTATAACAAAGAAAAGTGGAAGTCCACTGGTAACTGGACTCGTTGGTGTGTCTACTGTGACCTAGTGTAAAGAAATTAAACGGAAAGTAGAATGAAAATAAGCCATAGACTCATATGCAGCACTTACATGCTACAAATATTTTAGACAGAAATACGTATAAATCATGTCCTGGTAGCATGGTTAGTGTTAACTTTCTTTAAATCAAGAGTAATCCACACAGTAGTTAATTTAGGAAAATAGTCATAAATTCAGGTTTAGTTTTAATCACAGCTTGGATTAACCCCTTTACTGCAATATATCCACTCATTACCATCTATTCGTTTAACACTATTCTGTTAACACCTGTGCTATTTACTATCAGCCAGGCTCTAGAGATACTGCTTTAAAAAAGATGGAAACAAGTCCTTGCCCTCATATAGCTGGCTGCTGACAGGAAAAAACAGACATTAAAACAAGTGAGATGCTGAGGATCTGAAGGATAAGTAGAAGTTAACTACACGAAGGGAGGTTTTCCAGGCACAGCCAAGAATTCATACAAAGTCTCAATGATAGGATGGGGTGCAGCATAGTGAGGGAATGAAGTCAGTGGCAAGACAGTGTGGTAGGCCTGGAGAGGCAGACAGGAGTTAGAGCAAGCAGGGTCCTTTAGGACTATAGTCACTGAAGCTTTTAGGCGGGAGGAAGTCATATCAAGAGAACTATATTTTCAAAAGATCATCCTCATTGCTTTGTGGAAGATGGACTGTTGCTGAATAAGAGGAGACAGGGAATCCTTGAGGAGGCTACTGCTGTAATCTGGGTGAGATGAAGGTTTGGATGAGGGTGGAAGAGCAGACATGTAAAGAAGTTTCATAGACATTTAGGAGGCAAAAATGCCAGAACTGGTAAAAAATTTTTTTTTCTTGTATGGGATGGTTAAAGATGTCTTCCAAGCATCCGGTTAACATGGCTGGGTGGATGTTGTCACTCACTTAAAATAGGATATAGTGAAAGGAGAACTAGATTTGATGGACATAGGATCATGAGTTCAACCTCTCCTCACAACTTATTGACTCCTATCTTGAAACCACCCCAGACCTGTCCTTGCTCCACATCCTGTATTACAGACACAAGTTTTTATATGGCAGTGTCTTTGTGCACATATTAAGATACTAGTCTGGCATTCCCTCTAATCCTTCAAAGTTCAGATATCACCTACTCTCTGAAGTCTTCTCAAGTTCCTCTTGGGTGCTATACCCCATTAGTACTTTGTTCACACATTTTTTATGACGTTTACTATATTAAATTACGTGAATATGTGGCTGTCCTTTTGGTTATAGATTTCTTCTTAAGGGTAGAAAAAAATATCTTGATCTTCACTGCAACTGCTACCATCCTTGTTCTCTGAACTACAGCATGGCACACAGTAGGCACTGGGTATATGTTTGCTGAACTAAACTGAAATGCACTGAACACCAAGAAGAACAACTCTTGTAAGCATAAACCTTGTAGTTTATTTTATGCTGGTTTGCAATGCATCTGACCGTGGATGGAGAGTTCCTTTTCATATGTTCCATCATTCATGATAGAAACTGGCTCTTTCTCATATAACAAACCAGATTGGCGTTAAGTAGCAGGCCTAAATTCAATTAGAGGACCATTTACTCAAAGTCTTAAAGTGGATAAATAGAAGCACTTAACATCAACAAAGCATTTGAGCAATTTCACTAGGATGTTTCTACCCTTAATGTAGTAAAATTTTCAGGGGGTAAGTTTGGTGAAGGAAAGATTTTTAATAGCTTATAGACTTAAACATTGAAGATACAATTTAATGTCTAAAATTTTATATTCAATAATTAAAATAATGTTTGAATATAGTACTTTTTTCTTATATCATTGCTAATTTTTGGACAATATAGGATTTCTCCCCTCAGTTGTGGTCGCCGTAGTTCTCCAATCACCAAAGCACCCAAAGTCCATAATCATATTCTCTTGTGTTTTTCTCTCTGCCTCCCGCTTCCTCCCCTCCGGGATGCCTCATAGATACTATGGTCAGCTTTCAAGGTTTGTCTTTGACCCTTTGCTTTTTCTATATTCCACACATAAGTGAAACCAGCTGATATTTATTTTTTCCCTTCTTCAATATGCCTAAAATTTTAAAACACAAAACAGTAGCAGGAACACAAGAAGTGGACCTACAGAGCAAATGAGGAAGAACAAAATGTGCAATTAGGAAGCTGTGATGAATTTTCAATTAAGCTAAAAGTATAATTTAACAAAGTAAAACTACTAATTTGGACTGTAGTTGGCCCTTGAACTAGTCAGTATGAATTGCGTGGATCCATTTATATGCAGATTTTTTTCAGTAAATATACTGGCTCCTAACCCCCAGGTTGTTCAAGGGTCAACTGTATTTCCAATTTTGATATTTACTATTAGATTTAATGGTATACAATATATGTTCTTCTAGGACAAAAATACAAAATCCATGAAAGTCTCTTAAAAAGTAACAAAGTTTTCAAGTGAAAAAGCTACTTTAGAAATACAAAAACCACATAAATATTAAAATATAATATTAATACTTTAAAAGGTATTACAGTAAGCCCTGAAACATCTTTTTATCATCAGGCATTTTTAAGGTTAGAAATGGACTGAAAATGTGTTTGCGGTAATTAAGTTTCTAAAAGTTGAGTGGCTGTTTATGGAACTCTTACCTGTACAAGGAAAATGATGAGAAAATAAAAATTTGCAATTCTTCTAAACTGTTCAAACAGATTCTTTGGGAGGAAATTCCAAAGTGTATACTGTAAGGGAAGAAGAAAGAAAACACAATATTATTAGAAAGGAAACTTGAAAAATCCTAATAATGACTTATATGGGTCCAGATTATCACAATACTTTGAAAATATGTTAAAACCCAAACTTCACACACACAAATAAGCATATACTTAGAAGTATAGTGTATAAACACTTTTGACAGGAATGAAATTTTCACTTTGAGCATTACAACTGGGCCATTTAGTCAAATACCTTTGCTTTCCTTGACCAGATCTAAATTAAGTCCTTGTAATGTGCACCTCAGATTGTTCCAGACAGCACTCGCTGCAGTAATAATTACACGAGTGTATATTTTTTATTAAAAATTCTCCATTAATTGGCAATGATTCTGTAAGGGTTGGTTGTTCATTTTCTTTCCTATTACTTTTTCTCCAATGAGTACAGTGTCTGACATAACACAGTCAATAAATTGGATGAATGAATGAGTAATTCCTCTGATTTCCAGCTAAACTCTAGGCTCTTGGTCATTATTACAGATATAACTCTATTCCTACCAGTAACTCCACCTCTGTGACAGCTGAGGTACACACACAGACCTCTGTTATAGAGTGTTCACTTTAATCCACAATATATCACCCTGGGCTTGGTAATTGCTAATGGATAAAACCCTCAACGCTAAGTTATAAGCGGACAGGAGATAACTCTTGGGCCAACTAACATACTGCACAGATTTTCTCAATGATATCTTAAGTTCAAGGACTTATGATTTAAATATCACGAGGAGATGCTGGATTTTCTAAATATCTTAATAAAGAAGACCAGAAACCAGAAAGGAATGCTTCTTAACCTAAAGGTCTAAATGTACACTTGAAGGGTCTCCATCCCAAGTATCTGCATAATTTTGAGGGCATATCCATTAAATTAGGTAAGGTGACTGAAAAGCCAAAGTTGTAGAGCATAACACAGTATGTGGGAATTTACTGCTAACTTCTCTCTTAAGGCTTATGAGCTGCTCAAGGTTCAGGGAATCTCAAAAGAATGAGTGGAGGAGCTAAGTTACCAACAACAGCCAACCTAGAAGGTTCTTCCCCCAGGATTTGTGGAAATGCCTCAAGGAAGTCCATTCAAAATGAAAAGAATTGTTTGTGAATATTCATTATTTGGAAGAACACTGTCCACACTTTTCATCAGGTCCAAGGCAGGTTGTGATCAAAAATAAGAGGGCTCAAAACCACTGAGCAGGTCACTTTGAAGCTGACACACTTAACTGTCCCAATTACTTAAGATCACTCTTCTAAAACAATAAGCTAAACTTCAACAGAGGAACTGCTGAGCTTCTGGCTTGCTGACCTTCTGTTCTCTAACTAAAGGATTTTAAATTAAATAAACAAACATTAGGAGCCTCCATGGGGAGTTAACACATCAAAAGGAAACCCTTTTGTTTTTGTTTCTAGGAGCCCACTGTTCCTTTACCACTGTTTTAACTTACTAAAGAAGTCTGGTTAATTCCCTTTATAGAAAACTATTGCTCTGTGTCCCCTCTTCTCTCCTGTATCAGGTCATGAACTATTAAGATGTCAGGGGGCATATCATAAGCCCCTTCTCCACAGCATGGTATTTGCCACATAGAGGCATAGAAGAAATTTCGATTAAAACTTGTGTGTTCTACAGATATGAGGAAAAAAATCCAAAAACAAAAAAAAACAAAACAAAACACTTGTGTGGGGCGGCTCCCTGGTGGCGCAGGGGTTAAAGTCTCAGCACTGTCAAATTATCACCAGCCACTGTGGCATGAGTTCGATCCCCAGCCTGGGAGCTAACCCATAAAGCATATTAGGCCTCTCCTGTCTCACCCGCTGCTCCCCTCGGCAGTGTTTTTCAGTAGATCTGCCTATTCTGTTCCCCACTCTCTCTCTGGTGAATCCTCTCACCACCCCCCACCTCTGGACTATATCCCAGTTCTTGTATGCATAAATAAATAAATAAATAATTCTTAAAAACAAAAAACAAAAAACAAAAACAAACAAACAAACCTGACTTGTTCATGTAAAATGTGGACTCAGGCTTAGTCAGTTGCTACAAGCCCAAAACAATGTTAATATACAGGAAGAAAATGTTTATAGCAGTTGTTTCGGAGACAATGATGACAAGATTTTTTTCTTTCATAAGTTAAGTTTCTGCTTAGAAGTCAGTAAATTGATCTTTTATATAATCTTAATATGCAACTATAAACTTAAAAACACTTTAAACTTACACATTTACAACATGTTTAAAAAGGTTTCTACAGAAAAATGTCAGCTCCCCAAGCATAAACAATGCATTTTACATCTGCTCTGTGGTGAATTAAATAACTCGTACACAAATGTGGCCTCTAAAGATATAATTATGTGAAAAAATTGTGGTTTACCCTTTCAAGTATCTATCACCTATGATTTAAAACCAACAATGTTCTAATTTTGCTAAATAACTTTCCTAATTCAAAGGCGGGAGACTGAAATGAACCTCAGTGTTGAGAGTCTGTTTTCATTTTAAGCAAAAGTGGACTTTAAATTGTTTTTATTCAATGTCGAAAATTTTTTCCAATTTAGCATTAAAAATTCTGAAAGAGAAGTGAAAGTGACAAACAACTTGTTCTACTATGTCTTTGTATCAACAAGAAAAAGGGAAGTAAATAAAAAATGAACTAAAGTAGCGAATAAAGTTAACAGTCAATTGTGACTGGCCTTTAAGGAATGCTGACTTTTCTACTGACTTTTCTACGAGGAGAATTTGGAGGCCATGGAACAAAATAACTATACTTTAAGATTGTTGTAAATAAGCAGAGCCCTAACTTCAGTAACTGTTCACTTTGCTGTATCCAATTTATTAAGTCTCGTTGGTGTAGGTATTAAATCCAGTTTTAAACATCATAGCAGTATGCTCTCATTTTCATTACCAATGTCAAGCAGAAGTTTCTTTTTTTTAAGTATCACTCTTTCCACCACAAATTCAGAAGAACCAAAGGAATTACCAGGACATCACTGAATTAAGCTTTAGAAACAAGTTAAAAAGGTATCTTAAGTGAGCTCTATAAGACTCAGGCAAAGAGATGTCTAGTAAATTCTCATTCTGATTGCTAAAATGAGGAAAACGTTAGAGTAATTTTATGTTTGAAACTTTAATCCAAGACATTCTTTCATACAGGATTACTGTGTGACCTTGGGCATACCTTCACAAAGTTGGGTGGAGATCACTGATTCTTATCATGCTGAAGGGCCTTCAAGATGAGGTTCAGGGTTTTTTTTTTTAAATGAAAAAAAAAAAAAAAGTAGAACAGAGAAATAGAATGGAATCGAAAGATCCTAGCAGGATGCAGTACAGGATGCAATAAAATGCTCCTTCTGCTACCAAAGGGATTTTCAGAATTTCCTACAGCTACAAAATTTTGCTCATTCCCAAAGGTCCCTGCAGGGTGCATGAAAGCAGTAAGGTTGCAGAAAACATTTCCTAAAGGAAGCATATGTTTTATTCTTTTTTTTTTTAAAGATTTATTTATTCATGCATATAAGAGCTGGGGTACAGGCCAGAGATGCCGGGGTGAAAGGATTCACCAGAGACAGAGTGGGGAACAGAACAGGCTGATCCTCTGAAATACACTGCTGAGGGGAGCTGCGGGCTAGACAGGAGAGGTCTGCTGCGCCATGAGGGCTGCTCTCTGGCCTACTGGGGATGGATCTTGTGCTGCAGAGGATTTGGATTGCTTCATAGTGTGGTGCTTATTAACCCCTTGTGCCACCAGGGAGGCCCCAGGAAGCATATGTTTTAAAAGGGAAAAAGAAAACTAAATTTATAAGTAAAATTTAAAGTATGTCAAAATGTTCATTCATAGCAGTATCTGCATTAACAAAACCTACTCTCATTGTTACAGACATTACTGATATTTGTAAACAGTATAACAAAAAGCACCAAGTTAAGAGAAGGTGACTTTTTATTATTGAACGTTTGAGAAAGAAAATCAACATGTGCCATGAACATGAAAGGAAGGCAGTTAACATATTCTATAAACTGCACATTTCTTTAATTAAAAGATATGGGTACAAATATAGTCAAAAGACAAAAGGAGGGGGGAAATGTCAAATTATGAAATTGATGTTCTCTCCAGAATGGACCTAGAGGCTCTTTTTAAGAGAGATCACACCACACGTTCAAAACACCCAAGACTGAGGAAAATCAGTAGTACTGCTCAGGGCTGTAATAATAATTATCAGCATTATCACAGAAACATAAGTAACAACAGCAGCTACCATTTATTGAGTGTCACTGCATGTGAAGCACAGTGCTTAAATGCTTTTTGTGGCTTCTTTCATCCTCACTACAATCTTAACTCCACTTTTTACAGGCAAAAAACTTTAGAAACAGAGGTTAAATGGTATCTTTAAATTCAAACTCAGGTCTTAGACCTACACGGATGAAGGTCTTTACCATTATACTGTATACTAACCCCTTATAATTATCCATTGTATGAAGATTTCGGTTTTTTCTAAAGTATATTGTTAATTCCTTTTTCTACTCTAGAGCTTTTACCAAAAAAAGCAGATCAGTTAGTGTAACTAGAAAAACATAGTTACAGAGAGAAAAGATGTTTTAGTGTACCAATGTAGGAGTCTTCACTTCTTTATTCTGGTTTCCAATGCACATGTAGATAGATAGATAGATAGATAGATAGATAGATAGATAGATAGATAGATAGATAGATAGATAGATAGATAGACAGACAGAGATAGGCAACTCCATTGAAAAGCAATTTTTATTTGCCCCATGGGCTTCTGATTATTTTTGAAAGCATTCTATTTTATTGACGAAAGATATTTTATTAAATGCAAAAAGAATTGTGAATTAAACTGAGTCTTCCACATTCTTTTAAAATGTGAAAACACAAAGTATATCACAACAAAATGATGACTAGTTCAATAAAAAGTCACTTTATAATCAAGTGTGTGACTTCACCATTTTCCATATAAAACACTATGGAAAACAATTCCTTACAAAATATTTTATACTTTATTTGATGTAAAAGGAGAGAGAAAACTGAGAAAGGTATCCAAACAGCACAATGATATAAAAGGGGCTCTTTACTTGTAGTCAAGTTAGTGAGTTGAACAAGATGACCTCTTAGGATTTTTTTTTTTTTGGAGTTTTCTGTGTTTACCTTTTCTTTTCTTTTCTTTTTATATACATTTCTTTGTATACAATTTTTTTTTATTTTTATATTCCCCATACAATTGCAACCCCCTTATTTTGACCCCAATCCCTCCCCTCCCCGCCCCCCACCCCCCATAGAGTGTCTCTGGTTCATAGTTGTTGGTTGATTTTGATATTTTCTTTCTTATAGTTATTCTTTTTCCTGGTCCCTTATTTAAGTTTTCTAGATTCCTGCCATGAGTGAGACCATCCGGTATTTTTCTTTTTCTTTCTGGCTTATTTCGCTGAACATGATCCCTTCCAGCGCCATCCATGTTGCTGCAAATTGCATGTGTTTATCTTTTTCGATTGCTGTATTACATATACACCATGTATTCCATGGTGTATATGTACCACATCTTCTTGATCCAGTCATCTATTTTTGGGCATTTGGGTTGTTTCCAAAGCTTAGCTATTGTAAACAGCGCTGCTATAAACATAGGGGTGCAGGTGCTCTTTGGAATTGATGTTTCTGTGTCCTTAGGGTAAATACCTAGGAGTGGATAATACTGATTTATGCAGGGCCTCCCCTGGTGGTGCAGGCAGTTGAGCGCAGCACTGTGAAGCTGTCCGCAGCCTCTGCAGTGCCTGTTCGATCCGGGCCAACCGGCGAGGGTCCCACATGGCGCAGCAGACTTCTCCTGTCACGCCCGCTGCTCCCCTCAGCAGTGTATTTCGTCAGTCTGCCTGTTCTGTTCCCCGCTCTGTCTCTGGTGAATCCTCTCACCCTCCCACGAATCTGGCCTGTACCCCGGTTCTTGTATAAATAAATAAATAAATAAAAATCTTTAAAAAATAAAAAGATTTATTTATGCATACAAGAGCTAGGTACAGGCCAGAGGTGCGGGGGATGAGAGAATTCACCAGAGACAGAGTGGGAAACAGAACAGGCAAACTGACCGAAATACACTGCTGAGGGGAGCAGCGGGAAAGACAGGAGAGGTCCGCTTCGCCATGTGGGTTGCTCCCTGGCCAGCCGGGGATCAAACTCATGCTACAGAGGCTGTGGACTGCCTCATAGTGTGGTGCTTAACCCCTTGCACCACCAGGGAGGCCCTCTCTTAGGATCTTTCAACTCCACAAGTCTATGTTCTGAATCAAAGGGCAAGTAATTGATTGCTTTCTTTGATATCACAGGGTGAATCACAATTTTCAGTGAAAGGACGATTTATATCTTGGGCACAAGTATAGAAACTTTTGGCTGAGGATAAAATTTCTGCTGTAAGGTTAAAGACTGATAGGAAACAGGTATTTTTTGTAAATTTGCTCAAGTATTCTATAGATTGCTCTACAGATCTGCTCATCAGGCACTCACTCAATCTGTCCATATTTTACATGTAAATCTAGCTAAGTATAATTTCCACTATACATTACTATCCAAAGGAGAAATCATATGTATGTTTGAAAACCAGAATGCTAAATTTTTTAAGGAAGGATGTAATTTTGCATTTCACATCCTAAGTGTTTGCAAACATGAAGTGAAACAATCATTACCCACATTTTTGATCTTCCTTGCCAGGGTGTATGTAAGGAAAGGAGGAAAATGATCAAGATCTCTGCCAAGCTACAAGATATGGCAGTGGGCCAGTCATCTAGCACCTAGCACCTAGCACCTAACTTTATCGGGCAGACATATAGATCAGCAAACTAATGCTTGTAGAATGATGATTACTGAGTACTAGGAACTAAACAGAGTGCTTTCACATATGGGATATTAACTCAATTTCCCTGATGAGATCATTCAGACTCAGACATTAATTTGGGCAAGGTCACACGGTAAGTGGGGAGTGGGGACAGGATTTAAACATAGTCCTTCAGACTTTCAGGCCATGGCTCTCAGCACTCACTACCTTATGCGGAAGTAAAATGATTATTTAAATGGGACACTGTTGCAGTGACTGAACTCTTAGTAACTCCAGCAGTGTACTGAGCAGAATGCACCCTTTCAGACCCAGGAGTGTACATGAGAAGCGCCACGTTGAATAGAAACAGCAACGAATGTCATTCTAGGGTAGCACCATCTAGAAGAATGCAAATTATTCACAACCTTGTCCATTTACTTAGGGCAGTTCAGGAAGCTTTGAGCAAGTAAGTTATTCCCTGAAAGTAATATGTATAATCAACAGGTACTGTGAAATCATAACGGAAGGCAATGGAATGAACGCTCTTTCAGCTATAACAAAACAAAGTTTACTCAAAAAACAAACACACAAAAAACCCCAAAACAAAACACCTGCCTTTCAGCATAAAACAGAACAAAACAAACGGCTGCCTCTCAATGGAATAATTACTACAGTGGGTATATGACTGATACAAGTTCATATCCATGTACACATATATAAATGCACCAGCTTCCCCAGAAGCCTAAGTAAAAATAAGTGCATTCTCTGACTTACTATATATGAACATCTATTGAGTTAAAATAAACAACTTACCTTAGATGAGACTATTCTATTATCACAAAATCTTTGTGCAATGTAGGCTTCTGTTTCTGATACTGGGTGATTGCCAACAAACACTGTGCGTGTGCCAACTCGTTTCTCTTCTCCAGCACACTGACCAAGAGAAAGAAGGAAAAAGTCAATTTTTTCATCACATTTCTCCATGCTTCTCTTGAGCTCAGAATTCCTGTCTGAGCACATTTGGCTATAGCCTAGAAACAGATAAGTAGGTAGAAGAGAAAACCTTGTTAGGACTTTCAAACTCCACTAAAACCGTTTAGCTGCTGACTTACTGAAGACTAGTAAAAGTGATGCTTGAGCCAACTGTTCTGAGTGAGGCCAAGGTGGCAATTCTAAAATATCCTAGAAACAAGAGGCTTCCTTCTATTTGCCCCTTCCTTGCACCATCCAGGTGCAAGGAAGGGATACAGCATCACCTGGAAGTTATGTGACAGGAGCTGTTGTCAACCAACCAGTTGTCCTGCCAGGGCTATCTACTCTGATGGTCAACAACCCACCTGCTTTCCATTTTCTACAGCTGTCATCTATTTAATATTGTTGCTGAATTACAGAGAAGATACAACATTAAGGGAATATCAGAGAGCATAATGACTTTAGAATTCTATCCTTGTAAGGAGAAAGGAACGTGACAGACTGGTGGGGGATTTTGGCTTTTTATTTATCCTTTATAAATCATGATTATTCAACAGTGTGCATATACTATATCCAGAAATAAAAAAAACTTTTAATGGAGCAAGAAAAAGAAAAGAAAGTATCCTAGAGAAACAACTTTTTCATGCCAGTCATTTTTCTTTCACCCACTAAATCTCAGCCATCACAGCAACACACTAACTTAGGAAAGGTCAGCTGAGAATACTTAATTTACTACATAACGACTATTGAAGGCAAACTTGTCGATTACCTTACTAATCCACAGAAAGACTGCAAATTATTTCTAAATACAAAATAAGTATTATTCAGATCACAAATAGAATGACTTTCCTATTTCTACTGACGGAAGGACCAACTATTTCTGCAAAGAATGTTAATTCTTTGGCCTTACAAGAAAAACACTCTTTTGCAATCCCCTAGGCCTATTGTCAAAAAGGTCTACTCTAGCCAATATAATCTTTAACACTCCTTTACAGTTTTTTTTTTAATATTAAATTTTATTTTTATATTCCCCCATACAATTGCAAATGCCCCATTCTGACCCCAATCCTTCCCCTCCCGCCCCCCACCCCCCAAAAAGTGTCTCTGGTTCATAGTTTTTTGTTGATTTTGATTTTCACTTTCTTATATTCATTTTCCTGGTACCTTATTTAAGTTTTCTAGATTCCTGCTATGAGTGAGACCATCCGGTATTTTTCTTTTTCTTTTTGGCTTATTTCGCTGAGCATGATCCCTTCCAGTGCCATCCATGTTGCTGCAAATTGCATGTGTTTATCTTTTTTGAATGCTGAGTAATATTCCATGGTATATATGTACCACATCTTCTTGATCCAGTCATCTATTTTTGGGCATTTGGGTTGTTTCCAAAGCTTAGCTATTGTAAACAGTGCTGCTATAAACATAGGAGTGCAGGTGCTCTTTGGAATTGATGTTTCTGTGTCCTTTGGGTAAATACCTAGGAGTATTTACCTTTACAGTTTTAAAAGGTAAATTTGCTGATTCTAGAAGTCCCACGGTTGAGCTCCATTTTGCCTCACCCTTTTATTTATTTCACTGAGGGTTCACTGTTCTTTAATCTTAAATGAGGGCTAATGCATTTACATAAATTCAGGAATATCTCCTTTGATGATAATGTTATCATGTTTTAGGCGACCATATATTTAAGTCAAAGGAAGCATGAGAGCAACAAATACCCACTTTATAGTTTCATTATTATTTTTTTTAAAAGAATACACCAACCTAAAACATCTAAAGTATACAGTCACAAAGACTTCCCTCCCTTTTTATGATCTATTTAGAGGTCAAAGATATGAATCTATCTCCCAAATAGTTGCTTTAAGCAAATAATTACTTTAAGCAAAGTTCTCCAAATGTCTGCTATGTTTGGATGCATTTCAATCTGAATTTTTGCTTCCTTATATAGATTAATACAGGGAAAATGATTTTGTTAGAAAAATAATCACCCCAAAGTATAGATAAGGCCTCTTGCCTTACAAATTTCATTTAAGCTTATTAAGTATTTAGTAGGGGTATTGTCTTCAAAATCTGTTGGGAAATCGCTTGAAAAGTAATTGTAATAAGTTGAAGTAGGAGAGATTTAAGTTATATATAAAGAAACTCTTGAAAATGTACTATGGCTAAGGGAGGCTGTAAATCCTCTATCCATTGCAAACTGTAAAAAGTCATTAAGTATCACTCCTGGAAAGCGCAGATATTTACCTCCCTACACAAAACCAGGGCATTAGAACAACTGATTGTACAAGTTCCTTTGTCATCTGATCAGCATGTAAATTTTCCAACAGTTCTGGAAGTTAGTAAACAATACCTTTACAAGTGTGGTAGCTGCATGTACTATGATTAAGGGTCTGATTTCTCTGTTTGAAACCAAAACATACAGCTTGCTGATAAAAACACCAAATTTGCCATTATAGTCATTTTGTGAGACATAAACTAAAAATGAATATACCTGCCAAAAGTATAGTTTATTCTGTTTCACCCCTAGCCTCATCTTCTGTTGCCAAGTTAATGGTGTCATTGTAGTCCCTACAACAGACCGGAACCTTATAACATACCAATTTGGATTATAAAAATTTCAAGTCCATATATGCATTATAATTTTACAATCTTTAATATTAATGTGGTGGTTTAGTTTTTCACACAAGCAAGAAATGACTACAGAGTAAATAAGGAAGAGCTCTATCTTGTATGCCAGGTCTCAGGTCATTTTTACATATGGAAGGGGAAGAGACAAGATAGGGAGGCAGAGGGTCAGTGAGGCAGGATGTTTCCTGCTCTCCAGGGTAGATTCTTCCCCTCAATTACAGTGGACACTGATTAATAACTTAAAATGAAAATGAATTAGTGCTTCCCCAATCCTGAATTGTCTGTAACTTCTCTGGCAGTAACAATGTTTCAGAAAACAAAGGGAAGGAATAAGCATAAGGCAATTCTTCAGTCATCTGATGTTTTTATGAATCCCCCACATTTGGGTAGCATTTAAAGGTTTATTTTTAAATAACATTTATTTATTAATGCATACAAGGGCTGGGGCACAGGCCAGAGGTGTGGGGGAGTGAAAGGATTCACCAGAGAGTGTGGAGAAGAGAACAGGCAGATTGACTTAAGTATACTGCTGAGGGGAGCAGCGGGCCAAGACAGGAGAGGTCTGCTGCACCATGTGGGTTGCTCCCTGACCGGCCGGGGGATTGAACTCATGCTGCAGCAGCTGCGGATTGCTTCATAGGTTGCATCTTAACCCCTTGCACCACCAGGGAGGCCCTTAAAGATTTATTAAGAGCTTTCCCCATACATCATCTCTGATCTCTTTTGAATAAGGCCTAAGACCTCTATCTCCATCAAATTGGAGAAAATGGATTGAAATTGCAGTGCAGGTTGGGGTGAAGAGGGCACATCCTAGCAGTGATCACTGTTAGAGGAAGAAACAGGGGCCAGAGAGAGAGAGAAGGCATAGACAGACTGTCTGCTCCTGAGCATTTTTTTAAAAAGAGCAAAGTCTCCTGAGAACTGGTGGGTATGGGTTTGGAGGTCCCAGAGGACTGGGGGTGGGGCTGGGTGAAATAGATGACTTTCATATGCCTGTCTCATCCTCGAATCTGATGAACCTGCAATTTCTAGTGGAATTTGCTGCCACTGTATAATATTGTTTGGTTCATGTAAAAATGGCAGTGCTGAACTCATGTGTAAATTCACTGTAATTTTCCACTTGCTGCCAATGTAGAGTGATAAAATAGTGGTTTTAGCTCCTGTGATTGCAAATAATGTAGGTGCCTTTGCCAAAGCAAAGAAACTCCAAGTGGGAATCATAAAAATATTTCCCATTTGGATGGCACGCAAAGTAGTATGGAGTGGGAGGGTATGATTTCTGCCACCTCATAATGACTTTTAATTCATTAAGACTCCATTCTGTATTGAATTGTTTCCCATCTAAACAGCCTTAGGAACAGCATTAAAAGAATTCTAATATGCTGGCACCAATTCTATTTTAATGACACATCAAACACTACAATAAAAAGTGTGGGAAAATATTTAAGGTATATTTATAATATATGCATTAAGAGAGAAAGCAATTTCATTTTTTTCTTCAAGATAAATATCACCCTGTTGTATTCTTGATTTATACCTCTATCATATAAACCAAATATTGTTTTTTAAAAAGAAAATAATTTATACCAAGATAGTTTCTCAATAAAAACCAGAGTAAAATGGCACTGTTAGACACATAATATCATCTTAAAATACTATGCCTTCGCTGGTCATAAAACACAGAGAGCAATGGGAAGTATAACATATTCTTGATTGTCTCCACACCGCTGATTCAATAAAAGTGAGGGAAAATAGAGACTTCAGTACAAGACCGTCACTACAAAAGTTGGCGCAGGATCCGAAACAGCGCTCACCTCTCCATCCTTTCCAGGTAGACTTAAATTTATCACTTAGTCATAGACCAGTGATTTTTAATTCTGTTCACACATTGGTTTTAAACATAATACCAATGCCAGGGTCTTTTATTTAATATCTGATGTTTAATTTAATTTTTCTAGAAGCTCCCCAGGTGACAATTCTAATTTGCAGTGAGGGCTAAGGATTACAGCTACAGAATCGCTCTGAATTTGTAATTGTCCTTAACTAGCATCCCACAAGTTTTTAGTATACCAGCCATAATTAATCTTATATTTCTCTAATTAAATAATTTAAACAATTTGCTTTTGAGAAGATAAAAATACAAATAAACCTCAAATATTATCTCCCTCCAACCATTTTAATTTGCTCAGAAAATTAGTTTCCTTCAATTCTTATTATTTTTGCAAGTGGTTAGTCTCCCATCAATTATTCAGATCATTGATAATGAAAATTACAGACCCTGACATAGGCAAAACTACTAGAGTTACCAACAAGTAACCAATGTCGTCATCCCTGGCAAC